CTTGAGAATATTTTCTCCTTTTCAAAGAGAAATTCCACATATGATTGTGTGGGTAACTTGCGGAGTGTTCGGAATTTTGTCCGATAGGCCTCGGGCGTCAGTGCGTAGGCCTTTAAAATGGCAGTCTTGACCAAACTATAGTTATTTTGAACGTCGTGAGAGAGTGCCTGGTATGTTTTTGCAGCTTTCCCAGTAAGGACAGAGCTCAATAAAGCAGTAATGGAAGTTTCGGGCCATTCACATGTCTTCGCTAAACTCTCAAACGAGTTAAAGAAAACGACCAAATCTGTTTCATCAAATTTAGGCACTAATTTCCCAAATTTGGCAATCACTTGCCCTACCGACAACTTTTTTGGATCTACCAGAGAAGTGACATCACTAACTTGACCAAATTCTGATTCCAACCTCCTCCTGTCTAAAGCAATTTTAACCTCTAACTCCTGTTCTTTTAATGCCTTCTCTAAAGCAACTTTCTCCTCACGAAGTAATACACCAGCCAACAAACTTTCATCAAATACCCCTTCATTAATGAAATGAACAACAATTTTATCTCTCAACACCTCTGACTTCTGCGTAACAGAATAATCCAATTTCAATTCCTTAACAAGACTAATCAACACTTTTCTACTCAACTTTTCTACACCTTCAAAAGTAGGATTAGCCAAAAAAGACTCCATAACACTAACTTTCAAATCACAACAAGCCTAGGTTCACTAACTTAACACACAGCGTTGGGCCGTGTACTTGACCTCTTCAATCTAGGACAACACGTCTGGCTATTGACCTAGATACCTCTATGCTTGCGCGCGTTGTAAGGACACTGCGCTACTGGATATAAAAACAACTAAATCCAACTAACCTTAGTATTCAACTGATATAACCAACAACTGGAACGACAGATTAAATCCCGGACGAGCCCCCACTTTGTAACGTTAACCTATCTATCAGCCAAATAGAAGGAGAACGTCCCCGGATTCTTTTTTCGGGGTCATATGCAAATGCCTTACGGCCTAAGTGGATGAACACTTAACACAACGACCACTAGGGCTCGAATTTAATGTCTAGGGAAGCTAGTGATACTATTGTAATTAACACTCATCCAATCTACATACGACCTTTTAATCAGCGAACTCAGAAGTGGCAGAACACAAGGTTGAACTAAATAAAATATTTAATGTATAAAATATCAAAAACCCAACTTACACAATGTAGGAAAAAACACTATCACAGATTTCTACACTGTCTAAAGAACAGCTACAGGCCACACAACACTGCTGTAGCTTCAAGACTTACTTAGCGACAAGTAATATTAAACTAGAAGACTAAATCAACTGAAGAAAGCAAGGCACACACAGGTCTTAAGTACTCTCACGTTCAAATGGTCAGAGTCTATAGCCGGACAATATGGACGGCTGCCTGACTAAGGTAAAACTGCCTCGTAGACTGCCAGGTCAAGATAAACTGCCTCGTGTTGCGAGTGTGCAGTGCAATTATAGACTTCTGTGACAGGGGAGGTTATCCTCAACTCATGTCGCCATTGGTTGGGATAATCATCTGATCAGAATCATTCAATCAGATTTTAATGGAAATTTTCTATGTCTCAAACACCTTAATAGTCAGTGGAAAAACCCCAGGTGTTACACCATCATTCCATATAAGGAATTATACAATGTCAAAATAAAAATGACTCGACCTAAGTAGGTCACAAGTTATATTAGAATATACGAGAAAGTTTAGTGGAAATTATTTAAAATTTTGTTATAATTTTCTTAATCAGTAGTAAAAAGCACAATGATAGAAGTGTGTGTAGGTGGAGGGGGGGGGGGGGAGGGGGGCACACAACTTGTCCGGTACTGTCACAACTGTTAAATTTTCTCTTCTCTAGAAAATGATTTCAAGGGTTTTTGTAGAAAGTGGTTTTAAGGGTTACCATAGAAAATGGTCTCCGTACTTGAATGAACCAATCGCTACTCGCCTTACATTGATCAAGTGCACTTGTGAGGTGAGCACGTAGCAAGTATCTTCTTGTCTCCCCACCCTCCACTTCTGTCCTACCCCACCCATTTACTGCCCCCCCCAACCTCCACTTCTATCTTATTCCACACATTTTCCACCCCTCAACCACCCACTTTTCTTTCCCCCACACCTCCGTGTCTCCACCCTCCCCCATCCCTTCACTTCTTTGTTCTACACCCAATCACCCACACCACACCTCACCCCACACCTAACCCCCACACCACCTCACCCATTCCTAGCACCACCTCACCACCTCACCACTCCTCACCCCCACCCCACCAACACCTCACCCACACCTCACCAAGAAATCACTGCACACCCCCCTCCCCAGTGTTAAACATTGAAAGTTTTGAGAAAACGTAAACGGGCCACGTGATCACACTTCATTTTTCTATCACCAACTGACCAACTGACGAACTGACCACCAACTGACCAACTGACCACCAACTGACCACCAACAGACCACCAACAGACCACCAACTGACCACCAACTGACCACCAACAGACCACCAACTGACCACAAACTGACCCCCAACTGACCACCAACTGACCACTACCTCGCCTAACATACAAGACATCTCCCCATCTTACTCATATCACCTTCTTTATTGTTGCTTATACACAACCATATACAACCACATACAGCCACATACAGCCATATACACAGCCACATATATAGCCACATACAGTGTACACACGCAAACACACATATCAACACACAAACACGCACAGACGAATATATACCACACGGAGCCAAACACACACACATATCGTTTGTTATATAAACACGAACACAAGTTTGTTATATAAACACTGACACACCAGTTTGTTATATAAACACTGACACACCAGTTTGTTATATAAACACTGACACACCAGTTTGTTATATAAACACTGACACACCAGTTTGTTATATAAACACTAACACCAGTTTGTTATATAAACACTGACACACCAGTTTGTTATATAAACACTGACACACCAGTTTGTTATATAAACACTAACACCAGTTTGTTATATAAACACCAACACAACAGTTTGTTGTATAAAGCCCGTACAATTTCAAGTCATTTGATCCAACAAAAGATGCCTCTGATCCTATTGTCCCAGTCAAGTCTAACATCCGATCAATTTGAAATGTGAGGCTTGGTATCGACATGGGAATTAGTTGACTTGTTGCAACAATTACATTTTATCCCTATAATATGATACTTTACCTTAGGTATCGATACCATAATACCTAAAACACATTGAGTGTCGATACGTTTTGATATCGATACCTTTGTTTGCAATCATTTGGTTCGATACTCCATCAATGTCACGCTAACTTTAACACGCTAGAAATGTGAGGGCTAAAACACGCTAGAATTGTGATGGCTAACATTAAACACGCTAGAAATGTAAGGGCTAACATTAAAACGCGCTAGAAATGTAAGGGCTAACATTAAAACACGCTAGAATTGTGAGGGCTAAAACACGCTAGAAATGTGAGGGCTAACATTAAAACACGCTAGAAATGTGAGGGCTAAAACACGCTAGAAATTTGAGGGCTAAAACACGCTGTTCTTTAAAACACTTTGCGTACCTGGAATGTTTATTCCAAGAATTTTTTTTTAAATTTTCAATATTTTATTACTGATTATTAATTGGAAACATTAATGATTGAAACACACATGATTGAAACACACATGATTGAAACACAAATGATTGAAACACAAATGATTGATACACAAATGATTGAAACACAAATGATTGAAACACAAATGATTGAAACACAAATGATTGAAACACAAATGATTGAAACACAAATGATTGAAACACAAATGATTGAAACACAAATGATTGAAACATAAATGATTGAAACACAAATGATTGAAACACAAATGATTGAAACATAAATGATTGAAACACAAATGATTGAAACACAAATGATTGAAACACAAATGATTGAAACACAAATGATTGAAACACAAATGATTGAAACATAAATGATTGAAACACAAATGATTGAAACACAAATGATTGAAACACAAATGATTGAAACACAAATGATTGAAACACAAATGATTGAAACAAAAATGATTGAAACATAAATGATTGAAACACAAATGATTGAAACACAAATGATTGAAACACAAATGATTGAAACACAAATGATTGAAACATAAATGATTGAAACACAAATGATTGAAACACAAATGATTAAAACAGAAATGATTGAAACACAAATGATTGAAACACAAATGATTGAAACACAAATGATTGAAACACAAATGATTAAAACAGAAATGATTGAAACACAAATGATTGAAACACAAATGATTGAAATACAAATGATTGAAACACAAATGATTGAAACATAAATGATTGAAACACAAATGTTTGAAACACAAATGATTAAAACAGAAATGATTGAAACACAAATGATTGAAACACAAATGATTGAAACACAAATGATTGAAACACAAATGATTGAAACACAAATGATTGAAACACAAATGGTTGAAACACAAATGATTGAAACATAAATGATTGAAACACAAATGATTGAAACACAAATGATTGAAACACAAATGATTGAAACACAAATGATTGAAACACAAATGATTGAAACACAAATGATTGAAACACAAATGATTGAAACACAAATGATTGAAACACAAATGATTGAAACACAAATGATTGAAACACAAATGATTGAAACACAAATGATTAAAACAGAAATGATTGAAACACAAATGATTGAAACACAAATGATTGAAACACAAATGATTGAAACACAAATGATTAAAACAGAAATGATTGAAACACAAATGATTGAAACACAAATGATTGAAATACAAATGATTGAAACACAAATGATTGAAACATAAATGATTGAAACACAAATGATTGAAACACAAATGATTAAAACAGAAATGATTGAAACACAAATGATTGAAACACAAATGATTGAAACACAAATGATTGAAAATGTTATTTTATTGTTATCGCGGACGCTTGCATTTGTACAACCTTGACCTGCAGCGACTTTGACCCAACAGCCATGACCTTGACCTTAGACCAGTGTGCCTTGCAGCAGGAGGTTGTCCGGGGGTTCTGGTGTCGGCGCCGTGACGGGGGAGTCCGTGCGGCTGGCATCATCGGACCAGCTCTGGGGATCTGCAGCCAGAGTAGGGAGGGGTCAGTCACTGGGGTCAGTGGCTGGGGTCAGTGGCTGGGGTCAACGGCTGGGGTCAGTGGCTGGCATCATCGGACCAGCTCTGGGGATCTGCAGCCAGAGTAGGGAGGGGTCAGTCACTGGGGTCAGTCACTGGGGTCAGTGGCTGGGGTCAGTGGCTGGCATCATCGGACCAGCTCTGGGGATCTGCAGCCAGAGTAGGGAGGGGTCAGTGGCTGGGGTCAGTCACTGGGGTCAGTGGCTGGGGTCAGTGGCTGGCATCATCGGACCAACTCTGGGGATCTGCAGCCAGAGTAGGGAGGGGTCAGTGGCTGGGGTCAGTGGCTGGGGTCAGTGGCTGGGGTCAGTGGCTGGCATCATCGGACCAGCTCTGGGGATCTGCAGCCAGAGTAGGGAGGGGTCAGTCACTGGGGTCAGTGGCTGGGGTCAGTGGCTGGCATCATCGGACCAGCTCTGGGGATCTGCAGCCAGAGTAGGGAGGGGTCAGTGGCTGGGGTCAGTCACTGGGGTCAGTGGCTGGGGTCAGTGGCTGGCATCATCGGACCAGCTCTGGGGATCTGCAGCCAGAGTAGGGAGGGGTCAGTCACTGGGGTCAGTCACTGGGGTCAGTGGCTGGGGTCAGTGGCTGGCATCATCGGACCAGCTCTGGGGATCTGCAGCCAGAGTAGGGAGGGGTCAGTCACTGGGGTCAGTGGCTGGGGTCAGTGGCTGGGGTCAGTGGCTGGGGTCAGTGGCTGGCATCATCGGACCAACTCTGGGGATCTGCAGCCAGAGTAGGGAGGGGTCAGTGGCTGGGGTCAGTGGCTGGGGTCAGTGGCTGGGGTCAGCGGCTGGCATCATCGGACCAACTCTGGGGATCTGCAGCCAGAGTAGGGAGGGGTCAGTGGCTGGGGTCAGTGGCTGGGGTCAGTGGCTGGGGTCAGCGGCTGGCATCATCGGACCAACTCTGGGGATCTGCAGCCAGAGTAGGGAGGGGTCAGTGGCTGGGGTCAGTGGTTGGGGTCAGTGGTTGGGGTCAGTGGTTGGGGTCAGTGGTTGGGGTCAGTCGCTGGGGTCAGGCGTTTGTCAAAGTGTTCAACCCAAACATTTGGACTAACCCTTGATGTAGACCGGAGGAGACGGAGTGGTCTAGCGGTAGAGAGCTGGACTGCTAACCCGTTAGTCTCGAGTTCGAATCCGGGTTCAAGTCTGTAGACCGTCCCTGAGTCCACCCAACTCTGATGGGTATCTAACTCACGTTAGGGAGAGCAAAGGCGGCTGGGCATAGTGCTGACCGCAATATCTCTTCATATGCCGAAGTCACAGAAACAAGTGAACTCTATTTCACTTACCCCATAGACAGTCAGGTTTGAAAGGGAAACTTTACTTTTTTTAAAATTTTATGTAAACCAGGGGTCTCCAATCTTTTCAGCCCGGGGCCGGGTTAACTATCAAACAAATGGGGCCACAACACACTGATGTAACAACAGGGGCCACAACACACTCATGTAACAACAGGGGCCACACGACACTCATGTAACAACAGGGGCCACAACACACTCATGTAACAACAGGGGCCACAACACACTCATGTAACAACAGGGGCCACAACACACTCATGTAACAACAGGGGCCACAACACACTCATGTAACAACAGGGGCCACAACACACTCATGTAACAACAGGGGCCACAACACACTCATGTAACAACAGGGGCCACAACACACTCATGTAACAACAGGGGCCACAACACACTCATGTAACAACAGGGGCCACAACACACTCATGTAACAACAGGGGCCACAACACACTCATGTTTGTTTTTCGAATTGTTTTTCAATTAATTCATTCTTGAAAATGTATTTTCACACAGGTGTGTTGTTCCAAAAATTGAAAAGTACCTTGATGCAAAAGTTTCCACATTAGGAATGTATTCCTTGTGTAAAGTCTTGTAATATCCCACCAGTGCTTCTTTGAACTTGTCCCTAAGGAGGTAATTTGCTTGCAACCCAATAACCTACAGCTGCAGTTCATCTGGGCAACTGGCCACATCTGGGCAACTGGCCACATCTGGGCAACTGGCCACATCTGGGCAACTGGCCACATCTGGGCAACTGGCCACATCTGGGCAACTGGCCACATCTGGGCAACTGGCCACATCAGGGCAACTGGCCACATTTGGACAACTGGCCACATTTGGGCAACTGGCCACATCTGCTTCAAATGGTTTTGGTCTCACTTTTCATGTCTTTGAATCCTAGTCAGAAAACCGCTACTGAAACCGCAGCTGAACGTCTTTGGTGATCTCGCATGCAAATGACGTGGGGAACTCAGTGGTTGCTTCAGCCATGAAGACCTTGCACTGCTGAAAGTTGGCCTGTACTTGTTCCAAAAACCAGACAAGTGTTAGTGTCCACTAAAAATACAGTGCAGTAACATTGGTTGTAGAATGTCTTTCTGTATGCCACTCGTATACTTTACTCCATCAACAGTCAGGTAACTGAGGCTAGTCCAAGTTATAATCAGCAAATGTTTTTTTTTAAAGTCATTGAATATAATATATCCTCTCCGGTAACAGTGCCATACTTGTTATGTAGGGAAGCCAGCTCTTGTGTTTTGCTCATGTCTTCATCCACACCTCTAATAAACACAAGAAGTTGCGAGGTGGAACAACTGTCCAGCGACTCATCAATTGCAATTAGAAAAATGTCGAAACTTGCTTGAATTTTTCGTTATTTGAGTCTGAATGTTTTCACCATGTCTGCTACACGGCGGGCGATTGTATTTGCACCCCCAAAGCTACATTTTCAAATTGTTTTGAAGTTTCTGGGCAAAGTTTCTCAGCAGCTACAAACAAACATAATTTTAGGTGGACAAAAATATCACCACGGGCCTCGCGGGCCGCAGTTTCGAGAGCCTGGTGTAAAGGAACAACACTAACACGACAACGTGACCACTTAACTGATTTCAACGAGAGGGGAGACGACCTCAATAACGATGTTGCCAACAGCAGTAGGACTGGCGCTGGTAGCTTCCCCTTGCTTATTCTTAGCGGTCTTGTGGGCCAGGCGATTGGCTCGCTGAAAGTCGTCGAGTTAGGTAAGTCGTGGGTATCAACCACCACGCCAACCACCTCAACCACTACCCCAACCACCTCAACCACCACAACAACCAAAACCACCACCTCACCCACCACCCCAACCACCTCAACCACCACCCCAACCACCTCAACCACCACCCCAACCACCTCAACCACCACCCCAACCACCTCAACAACCACCTCAACCACCACAACAACCACATCAACCACCACAACAACCACATCAACTACCACCCCAACCACCTCAACCATCACAACAACCACATCAACCACCACAACAACCACATCAACCACCACGTCAACCACCACAACCACCACCTCAACCACCACCCCAACCACCACCTCAACCACCACATCAACCACCACGTCAACCACCACAACCACCACCTCAACCACCACCCCAACCACCACCTCAACCACCACCTCAACCACCACCTCAACCACCACCTCAACCACCACCACCATCACCATCTCAACCACCACCTCAACCACCACCTTAACCACCACCCCAACCACCACCACCATCACCACCTCAACCACCACCACCACCACCATCACCACATCAACCACCACCTCAATCACCACCTCAACCACCACCCCAACCACCACCTCAATCACCACCCCAACCACCACCTCAACCACCACCCCAACCACCACCACCATCACCATCTCAACCATCACATCAACCACATCAACCACCACAACAACCACATCAACTACCACCCCAACCACCTCAACCACCACAACAACCACATCAACCACCACATCAACCACCACCCCAACCACCTCATCCATCACAACAACCACATCAACCACCACAACAACCACATCAACCACCACGTCAACCACCACAACCACCACCTCAACCACCACCCCAACCACCACCTCAACCACCACATCAACCACCACGTCAACCACCACAACCACCACCTCAACCACCACCCCAGCCACCACCTCAACCACCACCTCAACCACCACCTCAACCACCACCACCATCACCATCTCAACCACCACCTCAACCACCACCTTAACCACCACCCCAACCACCACCACCATCACCATCTCAACCACCACATCAACCACCACCCCAACCACCACCTCAATCACCACCTCAACCACCACCCCAACCACCACCTCAATCACCATCTCAACCACCACATCAACCACAACTTCAAACACACCTCAACCACACCTCAACCACCACCTTCACAATCATCAGCAAGTGACCTTGGATGTTGGAGGTTTTTCCTGGGTCAAGGTCGGCAGAACGTGATGCAGCACCAGCTGTTTCCGGTAGATCAAAACCTCCAGCTCGCCCAAGGCTTTCAGGCGGCTTCTGCGGGCAGAGGGCATATTGGTTAGGTTAGAGGGCATCTAGGTTAGGTTAGAGGGCATATTGGTTAGGTTAGAGGGCATATAGGTTAGGTTAGAGGGCATATTGGTTAGGTTAGAGGGCATATTGGTTAGGTTAGAGGGCATATTGGTTAGGTTAGAGGGCATATTGGTTAGGTTAGAGGGCATATTGGTTAGGTTAGAGGGCATATTGGTTAGGTTAGAGGACATATTGGTTAGGTTAGAGGGCATATTGGTTAGGTTAGAGGGCATATTGGTTAGGTTAGAGGGCATATTGGTTAGGTTAGAGGGCATCTAGGTTAGGTTATAGGGCATATAGGTTAGGTTAGAGGGCATATAGGTTAGGTTAGAGGGCATATAGGTTAGGTTAGAGGGCATATAGGTTAGGTTAGAGGGCATCTAGGTTAGGTTAGAGGGCATATAGGTTAGGTTAGAGGGCATCTAGGTTAGGTTAGATGGCATATAGGTTAGGTTAGAGGGCATATAGGTTAGGTTAGAGGGCATCTAGGTTAGGTTAGAGGGCATATTGGTTAGGTTAGAGGGCATCTAGGTTAGAGGGCATATTGGTTAGGTTATAGGGCATATTGGTTAGGTTAGAGGGCATATTGGTTAGGTTAGAGGGCATATTGGTTAGGTTAGAGGGCATATTGGTTAGGTTAGAGGGCATATTGGTTAGGTTAGAGGGCATATAGGTTAGGTTATAGGGCATATTGGTTAGGTTAGAGGGCATATTGGTTAGGTTAGAGGGCATATTGGTTAGGTTAGAGGGCATATTGGTTAGGTTAGAGGGCATATTGGTTAGGTTAGAGGGCATATTGGTTAGGTTAGAGGGCATATTGGTTAGGTTAGAGGGCATATTGGTTAGGCTATAGGGCATATAGGTTAGGTTAGAGGGCATATTGGTTAGGTTAGAGGGCATCTAGGTTAGGTTAGAGGGCATCTAGGTTAGGTTAGAGGGCATCTAGGTTAGGTTAGAGGACATATAGGTTAGGTTAGAGGGCATATTGGTTAGGTTAGAGGGCATCTAGGTTAGGTTGGAGGGCCCCTCCCCACCCCAGAAATACGATATCACTCCCCTCCCCACCCCAGAAATATAACCCACAACAATAAACACACACAATTTTACAATTCTCGACAATAAAATCAATATATATCTCAAATGATATTTTGTGACTTTTTTCCTGTGACTTTTTTCCTGTGACTTTTTTCCTGTGACTTTTTTTCCAGTGACTTTTTTCCAATGACTTTTTTCCTCTGACTTTTTTCCTCTTACTTTTTTCCTGTGACTTTTTCTTGTGACTTTTTCCTGTGAAATTTTTGCTGTGACTTTTTTCATGTGACTTTTTTCCTGTGACTTTTTCTTGTGACTTTTTCCTGTGAAATTTTTGCTGTGACTTTTTTCATGTGACTTTTTTCCTGTGACTTTTTCTTGTGACTTTTTCCTGTGAAATTTTTCCTGTGACTTTTTTCATGTGTCTTTTTTCCTGTGACTTTTTCCCCCCTCACCTCCCCACCATACCATGATTTACCCGAGCGAGGCCAAAAGCTAGACAGTTGCTATGGCAACCAAAGACATGCTCACCTGACCGCAGCGAGTGCTGCCGTGGCGTCAGCAGGCGACCGGATGTTGGTGTAGCGTCGGTAGCAGGCCGGCTCTAGACGTTTGGCGTCGCTCTCTTTACTGATGGTGGCCACTGGGAGACACAGGGGGTCAAGGTGGCAAGGTCAGATATACGGGGTTACGGTGACATTTCACCAAACAGACACGCTGATGTGACACTGACAACACTGACACGACACTGACATGACATGACACGACACTGACACGACACTGACACTGACACGACACTGACACGACACTGACACTGACACGACACTGACACGACACTGACACGACACTGACACGACACTGACACGACACTGACACGACACTGACATGACATTGAAACGACACTGACACGACACTGACACGACACTGACACGACACTGACACGACACTGACACGACACTGACACGACACGACACTGACATGACACGACACTGACACGACACTGACACGACACTGACACGACACTGACACGACACTGACATGACACTGACACGACATTGAAACGACACTGACACTGACACGACACTGACACGACACTGACACGACACTGACACGACACTGACACGACACTGACACGACACGACACTGACATGACACGACACTGACACGACACTGACACGACACTGACATGACACTGACACGACACTGACATGACACTGACACGACACTGACACGACACTGACACGACACTGACACTGACACGACACTGACACGACACTGACACGACACTGACATGACACTGACACGACACTGAAACGACACTGACACTGACACGCCACTGACACGCCACTGACACGACACTGACACGACACTGACACGACACTGACACGACACGACACTGACATGACACGACACTGACACGACACGACACTGACATGACACTGACATGACACTGACACGACACTGACACGACACTGACATGACACTGACACGCCACTGACATGACACGACACTGACATGACACTGACACGACACTGACACGACACTGATATGACATGACACCGACATGACACTGCCATGACATGACATGACACTGACACGACACTGACATGACATGACACTGTCATGACACTGACACGATACTGACACGACACTGACACGACACTGACACGACACTGACACGACACTGACATGACACTGACATGCCAGCTTACCTGCTAGATCACAGACCGCCGTGACCGTACACCTCATCTCCGCCGCCTGACACCGGAGAGCCTCTCCCTGCCGGTCAATGCCGGCCAGCATCTCTCTCAGCTCCTCCGTCTCCAGCCGTAGCTGGTCCATGTACAGCTCCAGCCGAAACAGCCGGGCCGTCTTATCCCTGGTGGGGGGGGGGGACAAGTGGGCCTGCAGTCAGCCGTTAGACTCAGCTTGGACATCGGGATTGTCCCGAACTTAATATGTCCCGAGCTAAATTTGTTCCGAACTAAATTTGTCCCGAACTAAATTTGTCCCGAACTAAATTTGTCCCGAGCTAAATTTGTCCCGAGCTAATTTTGTCACAAGCTAAATTCCCGAGCTAAATTTGTCCTGTGCTAAATTTGTCCTGATATATATATATATATATATATATATATATATATATATATATATATATATATATATATATATATATATATATATATATACACGACTATACGTTGTGTATTTTCTCTATAGTTCGCCGAAATAAGCACAGCCATGTTAAATGTGTCCGATCTAAATTAAACCTAGATGTCTTGAGACTGACCTATATTTTTTGATACACTTTTTGAGTTGATGGTTTTGAGAGGCCACTCTCTTGTTCAGTTTATAAATATCCACCAATCCGCTGTCGTCACACACGTAGGTCTCTTCTTCCTCCTCGCAGGAAAACTCTCAAAAATATAGGGGAGAAAAGCACAGGCAGTTAGGCAGACAGGCAGACAGACAGACTAACAGACAGACAGACAGACAGACAGACAGACAGACAGACAGACAGACAGACAGACAGACAGACAGACAGACAGACAGAGACAGACAAGACAGACAAGACAGACAAGACAGACAGACAGACAGACAGACAGACATCACAGACAGACAGACAGACAGACAGACAGACAGACAGACAGACAGACAGACAGACAGACAGACAGACAGACAGACAGACAGACAGACAGACAGACAGACAGACAGACAGACAGACAGACAGACAGACAGACAGACAGACAGACAGACAGACAGACAGACAGACAGACAGACAGACAGACAGAGAAAGAGAAAGAGACAGAGACAGTGACAGTGACAGTGACAGCGACAGCGACAGTGACAGTGACAGAGATATCGACAGAGACAGAGACAGTGACAGTGACAGAGATATCGACAGAGACAGAGACAGACACAGACACAGACACAGAGACAGAGACAGAGACTGAGACTGAGACTGAGACAGAGACAGACAAGACAGACAAGACAGACAGACAGACAGACAGACAGACAGACAGACAGACAGACAGACAGACAGACAGACAGACAGACAGACAGACAGACAGACAGACAGACAGACAGACAGACAGACAGACAGACAGACAGACAGACAGACAGACAGACAGACAGACAGACAGACAGACAGACAGACAGACAGACAGACAGACAGGCAGAGAAAGAGAAAGAGACAGAGACAGTGACAGTGACAGTGACAGCGACAGCGACAGTGACAGTGACAGAGATATCGACAGAGACAGAGACAGTGACAGTGACAGAGATATCGACAGAGACAGAGACAGACACAGACACAGACACAGAGACAGAGACAGAGACTGAGACTGAGACTGAGACAGAGACAGACAAGACAGACAAGACAGACAGACAGACAGACAGACAGACAGACAGACAGACAGACAGACAGACAGACAGACAGACAGACAGACAGACAGACAGACAGACAGACAGACAGACAGACAGACAGACAGACAGACAGACAGACAGACAGACAGACAGACAGACAGACAGACAGACAGACAGACAGACAGACAGACAGACAGACAGACAGACAGACAGACAGACAGACAGACAGACAGACAGACAGACAGACAGACAGACAGACAGACAGACAGACAGACAGACAGACAGACAGACAGACAGACAGACAGACAGAGAAAGAGAAAGAGACAGAGACAGAGACAGTGACAGTGACAGTGACAGCGACAGCGACAGTGACAGTGACAGTGACAGAGATATCGACAGAGACAGAGACAGACACAGACACAGACACAGACACAGAGACAGAGACAGAGACAGAGACTGAGACTGAGACAGAGACAGAGACAGAGACAGACAAGACAGACAAGACAGACAAGACAGACAGACAGACAGACAGACAGACATCACAGACAGACAGACAGACAGACAGACAGACAGACAGACAGACAGACAGACAGACAGACAGACAGACAGACAGACAGACAGACAGACAGACAGACAGACAGACAGACAGACAGACAGACAGACAGACAGACAGACAGACAGACAGACAGACAGACAGACAGACAGACAGACAGACAGACAGACAGACAGACAGACAGACAGACAGACAGACAGACAGACAGACAGCCAGACAGACAGACAGACAGACAGACAGACAGACAGACAGACAGACAGACAGACAGACAGACAGAAAGAGACTGAGACAGAGACAGAGACAGTGACAGTGACAGTGACAGTGACAGAGATATCGACAGAGACAGAGACAGAGACAGACACAGACACAGACACAGACACAGACACAGAGACAGAGACAGAGACAGAGACTGAGACAGAGACAGAGACAGAGACAGAGACAGAGACAGACAAGACAGACAGACAGACAGACATCACATACAGACTTTTACCTTTGAGAACACAGCTGGACCCCTCACTGTCTGTCACGTGATTGGTTAGCTGTTTGACCCCTGAGGTCACATCGAACTCCGCACTTGCCTGGTCACCTTCTGACGCCACTGGCGCGTCTTGACCTTGACCTTCCGACTTTTCGTTGGGGTGGGAGCTTGAGGGCAGAGACACGAGGTCTAGCTCGTTTCTTGAGGGCAGAGACACGAGGTCTAGCTCGTTTCTTGAGGGTAGAGACACGAGGTCTAGCTCGTTTCTTGAGGGCAGAGACACGAGGTCTAGCTCGTTTCTTGAGGGCAGAGACACGAGGTCTAGCTCGTTTCTTGAGGGCAGAGACACGAGGTCTAGCTCGTTTCTTGAGGGCAGAGACACGAGGTCTAGCTCGTTTCTTGAGGGCAGAGACACGAGGTCTAGCTCGTTTCTTGAGGGTAGAGACACGAGGTCTAGCTCGTTTCTTGAGGGCAGAGACACGAGGTCTAGCTCGTTTCTTGAGGGCAGAGACACGAGGTCTAGCTCGTTTCTTGAGGGCAGAGACACGAGGTCTAGCTCGTTTCTTGAGGGCAGAGACACGAGGTCTAGCTCGTTTCTTGAGGGCAGAGACACGAGGTCTAGCTCGTTTCTTGAGGGCAGAGACACGAGGTCTAGCTCGTTTCTTGAGGGCAGAGACACGAGGTCTAGCTCGTTTCTTGAGGGCAGAGACACGAGGTCTAGCTCGTTTCTTGAGGGCAGAGACACGAGGTCTAGCTCGTTTCTTGAGGGCAGAGACACGTGGTCTAGCTCGTTTCTTGAGGGCAGAGACACGAGGTCTAGCTCGTATCTCAAGGTCGTGTACGCCTGTGTCGGCCTCATCGCTTCCCCGCACACGACTGGGGCGGCCAGTTGACCGGCATCCACCACGTTATCCACCACGTTATCCATCACGTTATCCACCACGTTATCCACCACGTTATCCACCACGTTATCCACCACGTTATCGACCACGTTATCCACCACGTTATCCACCACGTTATCCACCACGTTATCCACCACGTTATCCACCACGTTATCCACCACGTTATCCACCTTTAAACCATCGTCAGTTCTATCCACTTCAACCACAGCTACATCTTCTTCTATACCACCCACCCCTTTATCCAGGTCTTTATTTACTGATGTATCCACTTCTATACCACCCACCCCTTTATCCAGGTCTTTATTTACTGCTGCATCCACTTCTTTATTATCCATATTTATATCCAATTGGATATCAGTCAACTTTAGCACTGCACCGGATTTCACCTCGCTGACCTCTAACTCGTTGACCTTCACATTGGCAGCCACCGTACACCCGACCCCAGGTTGACCTTGAGAAGAGGCTCCTGACACCTCACCGTCAGGTACCGGCTGAGTCTTCCTGTCCTCGGCGTCAGAAGACGTCGAGGGATGACCGGCGTCACCAGACGTCGAGGGATGACCGGCGTCATGAGGCGTCAGTGGGTGACCGGCGTCGTGTATAGTTGGCTTGTCTGTTGGGGTCTCCTGAGCGACCTTGACCTCCTTGCCCAGGACGTTGACCGTGCCGTAGTCCTTGTACGTCTTGATCTGCGTGTTCTCTCCGCCGATGTTGATGTAGATGTGTTCGCCGCTGATGTTCATGGGCGCCCTCTTGCTGTCCGAGAACACGGGGGCGTCCGTGCTAACTTTCTTGTTCTCTTGCGCATCTGAGTCTGCGCATGTGGCCTCAGCCCCACAGACTTCCTGCTCCAGGTCCCCCACGATGATGACCTGCGCGTGCTTGCCGTTGATGCTGAACTGCTCATGTTCGTCCTTGATTTTAAAACGGTCCCGTGCGAGGCTGACGTTCATGTGCGAGCCCTTGCTGACCAGCTTGGAGGGCAACAAGTGCTCAAAGGTGTGACACTCCGGCTTGCGACCCATCTCGATTTGCTTGGTCTGCTCGTTGTAGAAGAGCTTCCCCAGCTTCTCCATGTTGGCCAGAGCCGGATGTTTATGGCACTCGCCGACTCGCCAGCTCAACTTGTGGCTGCAGCATTTCCGGTCTACTTTCGTTTTCCCACCGGAAGTGCTGCCAAGTTCTGACGGATCTGTCTGTGTGGACACAGATAGGGGCTCGCCCAGCGCCTTGCTGGCTGTCGGGCCGGGCACGGAGTCCAGACTACCGCCAGATGAGACGGAGCTTGAGGCTTTACGCTTCATGTACCTCGCGGCCTTGACCCGACGACCCGAGTCCGGTTCACGGAGGTCAAACTGGGCGATGTACGAGTGGTAGAAGCGCTCGAGTGGCGAGAGACTGGCCGCAGGGACGCAGAGGTTGGACGGGCGGGAGAGGATGGTGCTGGTGCTCAACTTGTCTATGGGGACGGAGGCCAACTCAACGTAGCTCTGCTCCATGTCCAGCTCCTGGGGGAGGGGGGGGGGTAAGGGGGGCAACGGTCAGCACAGGTCACGGGTCACATGTAGGTCTATAGTGTAGGTCAATTTAGTGTGTTGTATCATACAAAGGTAGAAGCTACACAGACAACATGACACAGACAACATGACACAGACAGACAACATGACACAGACAACATGACACAGACAACATGACACAGACAACATGACACAGACAACATGACACAGACAACATGAAACAGACAACATGACACAGACAACATAACACAGACAACATGACACAGACAACATGACACAGACAACAAGACACACACAACATGACACAGAGAACATGACACAGACAACATGACACAGACAACATGACACAGACAACATGAACCAGACAACATGACACAGACAAGATGACACAGACAGACAACATGACACAGACAACATGACACAGACAACATGACACAGACAACATGACACAGACAGACAACATGACACAGACAACATGACACAGACAACATTACACAGACAACATGACACAGACAACATGACACAGACAACATGGCACAGGCAACATGACACAGACAACATTACACAGACAACATGACACAGACAACATGACACAGACAACATGGCACAGGCAACATGACACAGACAACATGACACAGACAGACAAAATGACACAGTCAACATGACACAGACAACATGACACAGACAACATGACACAGACAACATGACACAGACAACATGACACAGACAACATGGCACAGGCAGACAACATGACACAGACAACATGACACAGACAACATGACACAGACAGACAACATGACACAGACAGACAACATGACACAGACAACATGACACAGACAACATGACACAGACAACATGACACAGACAACATGAAACAGACAACATGACACAGACAACATAACACAGACAACATGACACAGACAACATGACACAGACAACAAGACACACACAACATGACACAGAGAACATGACACAGACAACATGACACAGACAACATGACACAGACAACATGAACCAGACAACATGACACAGACAAGATGACACAGACAGACAACATGACACAGACAACATGACACAGACAACATGACACAGACAACATGACACAGACAGACAACATGACACAGACAACATGACACAGACAACATTACACAGACAACATGACACAGACAACATGACACAGACAACATGGCACAGGCAACATGACACAGACAACATGGCACAGACAACAAGACACACACAACATGACACAGAGAACATGACACAGACAACATGACACAGACAACATGACACAGACAGACAAAATGACACAGTCAACATGACACAGACAACATGACACAGACAACATGACACAGACAACATGACACAGACAACATGACACAGACAACATGGCACAGGCAGACAACATGACACAGACAACATGACACAGACAACATGACACAGACAGACAACATGACACAGACAGACAACATGACACAGACAACATGACACAGACAACATGACACAGACAACATGACACAGACAACATGACACAGACAACATGACACAGACAACATGACACAGACAGACAACATGACACAGACAACATGACACAGACAACATGACACAGACAGACAACATGACACAGACAACATGACACAGACAACATGACACAGACAACATGACACAGACAGACAACATGACACAGACAACATGACACAGACAACATGACACAGACAACATGACACAGACAACATGACACAGACAACATGACACAGACAACATGACACAGACAACATGACACAGACAACATGACACAGACAGACAACATGACACAGACAACATGACACAGACAATATGACACAGACAACATGACACAGACAACATGACACAGACAGACAACATGACACAGACAACATGACACAAACAACATGACACAGACAACATGACACAGACAACATGACACAGACAACATGACACAGACAACATGACACAGACAACATGACACAGACAACATGACACAGACAACATGACACAGATAACATGACACAGACAACATGACACAGACAACATGACACAGACAACATGGCACAGACAACATGACACAGACAGACAACATGACACAGACAGCATGACACAGACAACATGACACAGACAAGATGACACAGACAACGTGACACAGACAACATGACACAGACAACATGACACAGACAACATGACACAGACAACATGACACAGACAACATGACACAGACAAGATGACACAGACAACATGACACAGACAGACAACATGACACAGACAACATGACACAGACAACATGAAACAGACAACATGACACAGGCAACATGACACAGACAACATGACACAGACAACATGACACAGACAACATGGCACAGTCAGACATGAGTGACCTTGGCCTAACTGACCTCAGAGAGGTGTTGCTGAGGTAGGTCATCAAAGCTGGGACTGTTAGATCGACCAAGCAGGTAGGGTCTGGTCAATGACCTTTTAGACATTGGCACGGTAGCTGATGACGTCAGGCACGAGCCCTAGCACTCACAGATCTGCAGCAGCCGACACCTGGAGACTTGTGACGTCAGCAGCAACACCTGGGGACTACACAAAAACCTACACATTACTGCAACCAATATTCTCTCCCCCTCTCTCTGTCTCTCCCTCTGTACTGTTTCTATCTACAACACTCTCTCTCTCTCTTCCACCCTCTCTCTCACCCTCTCTCTCTTCCACCCTCTCTCTTCTCCCTTTTACTTTCTCCCTTTCTATTCCTCTCTCTGTCCTTTCTCTCTACCACTCATCTCTCCTATCTCATCTCTCACCTCTCTCTCCCACACTCTCTCTCCTACTCATTTCTACCCCCCCCCCTAACCTCTAAAACACAACAATGAGACACCCCTAACCTCTAAAACACAATAATGAGACACCCCTAACCTTTAAAACACAACAATGAGACACCCCTAACCTCTAAAATACAACAATTAGACACCCCTAACCTCTAAAACACAATATTTAGACACCCCTAACCTCTAAAACAAAATAATTAGACACCCCAACCTCTAAAATACAAAGCTCTATGCACCATATAGAGTTTCAAATTTTTAAAACACGCAGAATAAGGGATGTAATGCAATTTGTATTACTATGGATAGTTTTAAGAAGACTTACTTCCCCTGAACAAATCAGAAGTTTTAAAAATATATTGAGCATTAGTTATAGGTTTTAAAAGGCAATGCAATAATAGTAAATTTAAAAAAAAAAGTCTTTTTTAAAAGATATCGCAAGCCAAAAATTTATACTTACATTTATAAAATGAAAGCTGTTTGGGAACCATCGATTACACTCATTACACATTTGTGTACTGAATATAGGCCGTTCAAAAGTACAAAATAATTTAATCAATTCAAATATTAAAAAAAAAAAAACTACCCCCAACCTCTACCTCAAGTCAACCAGAGTGGCCAGGGAAAGTAAAACAAAGTCAGAACAATTATTTCCTTGATAAAATACACAATAACACTCAATGTGATATGGCCTAGTAGTTTATTTATATTAAATAGTATAACATCCCCTATCATCACAATATCCTGACTCTACTAATCCAATTCGAAAATAAAAGTTGTTAGCTAAATTACGATTACTACTAGTAATTATTTTTAGCGCAATTTTCATACTGGAATTGCGATTATTAACTCGTCATATCTGGATGGATGAATGAATGAATGAATGTGTGTCCGCAGCTTTAAGTCGTATCTCCTCCTCAACAAAGCAATATCGAGGACTAGTTCCAAAAGCAAATATGTTAAGCAAGTTCCAAGGATGATTGTGGGCCAAAAAAATTCCCGGAATTCCTTCCTTGATTTCCCGAAAAAGCCAAAAAACCTCGAACAAATGCAGCGTTTGCTCCATATCTCGGCAACCAGACAACTTAGCGACTTGAAACATTTACCAATCGATTCATGCCATAATTTAGACCAATATTGCCGAAAAAAGTTTTCAAAAATATCCTTTCGTTCGGTCACAAAAAATTAATTAAGAACATTAAAACTGAGCGTCGTGTAGGTTTTTAGCGCAAAGCTGAGGTGCGAAAGGATTTTACCATAGCGAATGAGCGGAGGTTCGAAAGGATTTTTTAAAAATCTCGTTAATAAATATTTTTTCTATTTTGTTTTGAATTATTAAAACTACTTGTGTTGCATTATTTATTTGCTGAATATATGATTTATCTCGATTTAAAATTGTTACGGATAACATAAGGAAATTGCGCTTAAATTGTCACTAGACTTTTTAATAACTTGTTTTAAACATTTTCAGCCTAAATAAACCGGAAGTTATTTTGTTTTTATTACACCAATTTAATAAAAACGTCAATTTGGTTGAAAAATATACTTTCTGGCAACAACCGTTTAAAACCAGTTAGAACCAGATTTGTATCGCCCTGTCTGATGCAGCTAGAGTTGGCTGTGTCAGACAAATTCATGGCTGCAGCTAGATTTAAAAAAAGACTGACCTGACTAATTGATGGCACAATAAAGACTGACCTAATAGACGGCACAATAAAGACGGACCTAACTAATGGACACCAGCGAGTTGACGAGATTCTTTCCGTAATGTTATTGACATGGAATAAAAATGTGCTTTTTTAGATTTAGAACCATAAAAGTAATAAATGATAAAATTTTATTAAAAACTTAAGCCTAAAATTAATTCAGAAATTTAATATTTTTAGAATCAGTGCTATACAAGTTGCAGATCCAAAGATCTTGAAAATAATTTGTTGAGTTTAAGGCTACATTTCTAGAGCTATTTATTTTCATCAAGCCTAAGTTATAACCCGATGTTTCACTTTCGTAAGACAAACATTGATTGGCTGTAAAGGAACTCCGTGATCGATTTCTGACAGCCCCACTTAATAGTTATTTTGTTTACAAAACTTTGCAGATCAAGTTTTTAAATAACTTTGCAAATTTAAACACCATGACCTATTTTTTCTATTTTTAGCTTACAATGTGTACAACAAAATTTATGGCGGCCATTGTTTATGTCGCCATTACACGTAAAAACCAAATTGTTTTTGCTTTTTTTTAAATTTTTATTTAGTTACCGAAAATATTAAAAACATAAAATACATCCAATCTTTAGTAAAGTCCGAAAAAAAACAGACAGACAGGAGTTTTATAAGCATTTTAATTGTAACAACGCCGTGCAAGATTTTTAAATTAATTTATGCACCTCTCAAATACCTTTGAGACTTTTCTCGCTAGTGTCCATTGACGGCACAATAAAGACTGACCTGACTAATTGACGGCACAATAAAGACTGACCTGACTAATAGACGGCACAATAAAGACTGATCTGACTAATTGATGGCACAATAAAGACTGACCTGACTAATTGACGGCACAATAAAGACTGACCTGACTAATTGACGACACAATAAAGACTGACCTGACTAATAGACGGCACAATAAAGACTGATCTGACTAATTGATGGCACAATAAAGACTGACCTGACTAATTGATGGCACAATAAAGACTGATCTGACTAATTGATGGCACAATAAAGACTGATCTGACTAATTGACGGCACAATAAAGACTGATCTGACTAATTGATGGCACAATAAAGACTGATCTGACTAATTGATGGCACAATAAAGACTGACCTGACTAATTGATGGCACAATAAAGACTGACCTGACTAATTGATGGCACAATAAAGACTGATCTGACTAATTGATGGCACAATAAAGACTGACCTGACTAATTGACGGCACAATAAAGACTGACCTGACTAATTGACGGCACAATAAAGACTGACCTGACTAATTGACGGCACAATAAAGACTGACCTGACTAATTGACGGCACAATAAAGACTGATCTGACTAATTGATGGCACAATAAAGACTGACCTGACTAATTGACGGCACAATAAAGACTGATCTGACTAATTGACGGCACAATAAAGACTGACCTGACTAATTGACGGCACAATAAAGACTGACCTGACTAATTGACGGCACAATAAAGACTGACCTGACTAATTGACGGCACAATAAAGACTGACCTGACTAATTGACGGCACAATACAGACTGATCTGACTAATTGACGGCACAATAAAGACTGACCTGACTAATTGACGGCACAATAAACACTGACCTGACTAATTGACGGCACAATAAAGACTGACCTGACTAGATTCTAATTGACGGCACAATAAAGACTGACCTGACTAATTGATGACACAATAAAGACTGACCTGACTAATTGACGGCATAGTCCCAGAGATTCCTATTCGCCACGTTCCCACATACAGTGTCCGACTATCAGTTTTCGTTTTTTCTATTCGAGCAATGATGACATTTAAATCAAGTTTTGTTTCAAGAAGTACTTTGATGTAAACAACATTTTTCTTGATGGTTTAATTATCCCATATTGGCGCAACTGATGACGTCAAGACGCACTCTAAAATGTTTGGAAATTCCCGAAATTCGCCGCATCAATTTTATCTTGAAGTAGTTTGGAAGACAAGAAAAGCCAAAGAAACAAAAACACACAAACACTATGGAAGATGAGAATTTGAGACTAGTCAATGGCTTATGTACAAGCTGCAATGTTATGCTTGGACCAGTGGCGGAACTGTAAAAAAAAAAAAGCTCCCTCCCCCCTACGCAAACTTTACTAAATTTTAAATAAATGTATGTTCTAATTTGGTAATTTAACCTATTTTCTAATTTGGTAATTTAACCCATTTTCTAATTTGGTAATTGAACCTATTTTCTAATTTGGTAATTGAACCTATTTTCTAATTTGGTAATTGAACCTATTTTCTAATTTGGTAATTTAACCTATTTTCTAATTTGGTAATTTAACCTATTTTCTAATTTGGTAATTTAACCTATTTTCTAATTTGGTAATTTAACCTATTTTCTAAATTGGTAATTTAACCTATTTTCTACTTTGGTAATTTAACTATTTTCTAATTTTGGTAATTTAATCTATTTTCTATTTTGGTAATTTAACCTATTTTCTAATTTGGTAATTTAACCTATTTTCTAATTTGGTAATTTAACCTATTTTCTAATTTGGTAATTTAACCTATTTTCTAATTTGGTAATTGAACCTATATCATTGCAAGTTGTAACCAGACTGAGACAACAAACCAGACAAAAATATGTCCAAACTCGAGCCTGATTTGATCTTTAAAAAATGTTCTTGTTTGGCATTTCATGTCCCGAAAGTTGTGAAAATAACAATTAAAAGACCGGCTAGCTGCTAAAAAATATATAAACACGTAAGCTTGATATGTGTGTTATGGTTTCTTGCATGCTGTTTATTTTTATGATTTTTGTATTTATATGTTTAATTTTGAACACATCTTTTTTTTTATCTATGGCATTCTTTAGAAAGTCTTATTTAAATACTAATTAAGAGAAATTAATTGCTTTTTAATTTACTTACAAAACTATTTAATGGAGATTTATGGTCACTCCTGTTAGACTATTGAAGGAAGGGAAATAAGTCATGGAAGTAATGTGAACCTATCTACCACACTACAGCTCAAGTAGATTTCATAACTACTAGCAGTATATCCGTGCTCAGCCACGGTGAATATTTTTTAAATGTAGCAACTTAAGAACAGAACAAAAGAAAACACAAGCACAACACAAGCACAACACAAACACAAACACAACACAAACACAACAGAACACAACACAAGCACAACACAAACACAACACAACACAAACACAAACACAAACACAACACAAACACAACACAAACACAACACAAACACAACAGAACACAACACAACACAAACACAAAACAAACAATACACACACAACACAAACACACAAAAACAACACAAAAACAAAACAAACACAACACAAACACAACACAACACAACACAACACAAACACAACATACACACACACAACACAACACAACACAAACACAACACAAACACAACACAAACACAACACAAACACAACACAAACACAACACAAACACAACACAAACACAACACAAACACAACACAAACACAACACAAACACAACACAAACACAACACAAACACAACACAAACACAACACAACACAAACACAACACAAACACAACACAAACACAACACAAACACAACACAAACACAACACAAACACAACACAAACACAACACAAACACAACACAAACACAACACAAACACAACACAAACACAACACAAACACAACACAAACACAACACAAACACAACACAAACACAACACAAACACAACACAAACACAACACAAACACAACACAAACACAACACAAACACAACACAAACACAACACAAACACAACACAAACACAACACAAACACAACACAAACACAACACAAACACAACACAAACACAACACAAACACAACACAAACACAACACAAACACAACACAAAACGGGACGGCTAGTATTATATAAAATGGTATATCTTCTTGTAGTTTGGTGCAGGTGTCTATAAAAGAGCTTTCTGGTGCTACCGACAAAAACGAACTCCTTCGTGCGCAAAAAAGGACAGACACAAAAGAAAACGCAAAAAGACACAAATAATAACATGCGGGAATAGCCGTTCCCGAATAAGGATGTCATTTGTTACTTCAACTGTCTTTGATTAAAAATAATAATAAGAAAACAGTACGTTCAGTGTATAGAATAAATAAAAGGCAGTATTTAAAATACCTGTCTGGGCGCCGGAGGACGCCTGGATTCGATTCACTTAAAGACTATAGTAACCTTTCTTATCCACAGCCTATCGCACTGTTTAAAACGAAATTATGCACCATAGCGCTCATAGGACAGCCCAGGGCGCCAAATTGAACCCTATAATACACCAAGCTTATCCGTAAACGGGGAAGAAATATACTTATAGGAAATGTAGGACCTAGCTTATTAACTGTTATTGATTTTAAAAAAAATAATTAGTAAACAGTACGTTCAGTGTATAGAATAATAAAAAGGCAGTACTAAAAATACCTACAACATTGCACTTGATCAATCCCCGCTAATTATGTAATTTTTTTTTTTCCCAACACCAAAACAAAGTAATAAAAAGTAAATTCTTTTCCTCTCAATGTAATGTTTTTTAAAGGGAAGTAATTGTGTTTTCCTAATCAAGGGACGTAATGAGCGTTAAAGGACTAAATGCAAATAATTTTCAGACACAATTACAAATTTTATTAACGTTGATACATTTTTTTTTTAAATTATGTAATGTTCATGCTGAAAATTATTATTTTAAGTATGCAAAATGAAAATTGTTTTAAAACACTTTCAATATTAATTTTTTAACTAATAAATTTAGACCATGAGCACTTCAGACATTTAAAACTTAAATCCATAGAAGTATTGTTTTTTTTATATTCTTTTGTAATCCACGACGAACATACATTTTACAAACATACAGAATTTAACTTTAAAAAAAAATTGGCCTACAGAATTTAACTTTAAATATTGGATTTTTAACGCAACAGTGTGTACACTAATCACTGCTTTAGTTGTCTGGGTTTTTTTCAAAACCACAATCAAGTTGCACGAGAAACGTTGTTTATATGGTAGGAGTTAGGTTCCCTAAATGGCCTGCCCCCCCTCCCCCCCCACCACACACGCATTGCTAGGTCTGGTTGGATGTCAAGCATGTCCTGTGGTGTAGTTGAGCACCTACAGATTACACCTGTTTTAAGATGGGATTAGAGTGACGTCAGTGTGTACACCTGTTTTAAGATGGGATTAGAGGGACGTTAGTGTGTACAGCTGTTTTAAGATGGGATTAGAGGGACGTTAGTGTGTACGTTCGCATGTCACGTGTCTGACCTCAGGGTTTGCTGATGTCGGGAAATATGAGCGGTTACCTCCCGTGGTGGACATGTTTGTCTACCCGTGGCTAAGTTAATCTTTCCCCGTCCGTGCTGTCACCTACACGACACCGACACGACACAGACACGACACCGACAGGTCACCTAGCGTGGCAGCTAATCTACTGCAAGGAGCGGGGTTAACCAAGCGTAAGAGGAAACTTTCGGGTGCATGAAATAGTTCACACACCTGACGTGTGTTACCAACACACACTCGTGGCTTACACATAGAACACACACACACCTCAGTAACGACACGAATCTAGACTTATGGGCTCTCGGGCCAGTGGGCTTTCAAGTTCCAGACCTTAGTAGCAGATCACCGGGTAAGTTGAAGACGTGTCCGTGTGGCATCTAAAGGGCCAGCGACAAACGGACTCCGTCAGATACACCCATGTACCCCCCTAGATACACCCATGTACCCCCCTAGATACACCCATGTACCCCCCTAGATACACCCATGTACCCCCCTAGATACACCCATGTACCCCCCTAGATACACCCATGTACCCCCCTAGATACACCCATGTACCCCCCTAGATACACCCATGTACCCCCCTAGATACACCCATGTACCCCCCTAGATACACCCATGTACCCCCCTAGACACACCCATGTACCCCCCTAGATACACCCATGTACCCCCCTAGATACACCCATGTACCCCCCTAGATACACCCATGTACCCCCCTAGATACACCCATGTACCCCCCTAGATACACCCATGTACCCCCTAGATACACCCATGTACCCCCCTAGATACACCCATGTACCCCCCTAGATACACCCATGTACCCCCCTAGATACACCCATGTACCCCCCTAGATACACCCATGTACCCCCCTAGATACACCCATGTACCCCCCTAGATACACCCATGTACCCCCCTAGATACACCCATGTACCCCCCTAGATACACCAATGTACCCCCCTAGATACACCCATGTACACCCCTAGATACACCCATGTACCCCCCTAGATACACCCATGTAACCCCTAGATACACCTATGTACCCCCACCCTAGATACACCTATGTACCCCCCTAGATACACCTATGTACCCCCACCCTAGATACACCTATGTACCCCCACCCTAGATACACCTATGTACCCCCACCCTAGATACACCTATGTACCCCCACCCTAGATACACCTATGTACCCCCACCCTAGATACACCCATGTACCCCCCTAGATACACCCATGTACCCCCCTAGATACACCCATGTACCCCCCTAGATACACCCATGTACCCCCCTAGATACACCCATGTACCCCCCTAGATACACCCATGTACACCCCTAGATACACCCATGTACCCCCCTAGATACACCCATGTAACCCCTAGATACACCTATGTACCCCCACCCTAGATACACCTATGTACCCCCCTAGATACACCTATGTACCCCCACCCTAGATACACCTATGTACCCCCCTAGATACACCTATGTACCCCCACCCTAGATACACCTATGTACCCCCACCCTAGATACACCTATGTACCCCCACCCTAGATACACCCATGTACAACCCCTCCCCCCAGACACACACATGTACCCCCACCCTAGATACACCCATGTACCCCCACCCTAGATACACCCATGTACCCCCCTAGATACACCCATGTACCCCCCTAGACTAGATACACCCATGTACCCCCCTAGATACACCCATGTACACCCCTAGATACACCCATGTACCCCCCTAGATACACCCATGTACCCCCCTAGATACACCCATGTACACCCCTAGATACACCCATGTACCCCCACCCTAGATACACCCATGTACCCCCCTAGATACACCCATGTACCCCCCTAGATACACCCATGTACCCCCCTAGATACACCCATGTACACCCCTAGATACACCCATGTACAACCCCCCCCCCAGACACACCCATGTACCCCCTCCCCCTATATACACCCATGTACCCCCACCCTAGATACACCCATGTACAACCCCCCCCCAGACACACCCATGTACCCCCTCCCCCTATATACACCCATGTACCCCCACCCTAGATACACCCATGTACCCCCCTAGATACACCCATGTACCCCCCTAGATACACCCATGTACCCCCCTAGATACACCCATGTACAACCCCCCCCCCCCAGACACACCCATGTACCCCCTCCCCCTATATACACCCATGTACCCCCACCCTAGATACACCCATGTACCCCCCTAGATACACCCATGTACCCCCCTAGATACACCCATGTACCCCCCTAGATACACCCATGTACACCCCTAGATACACCCATGTACAACCCCCCCCCAGACACACCCATGTACCCCCTCCCCCTATATACACCCATGTACCCCCACCCTAGATACACCCATGTACAACCCCCCCCCCAGACACACCCATGTACCCCCTCCCCCTATATACACCCATGTACCCCCACCCTAGATACACCCATGTACAACCCCCCCCCAGACACACCCATGTACCCCCTCCCCCTATATACACCCATGTACCCCCACCCTAGATACACCCATGTACCCCCCTCGATACACCCATGTGCCCCCACCCTAGATACACCCTAGATACACCCATGTACCCCCCCTAGATACACCCTAGATACACCCATGTACCCCCCTAGATACACCCGTGTACCCCCCTAGATACACCCATGTGCCCCCACCCTAGATACACCCTAGATACACCCATGTACCCCCCCCCCCCTAGATACACCCATGTACCCCCCTAGATACACCCATGTAACGCTCACCTCCCTTAGATATACCCATGTACCCCTACCCTAGATACACCCAGAGGCGTAACGACCCTTCCCGGGGACAAACTTTTCGATTTGCACCCCCCCCCCTCAAACTTCCGATTTGCACCCCCCTCGAGATTTTGATTTGCACCCCCCCCCCTCAAACTTTCAATTTGCGCCCCCCTCAACCTTTCAATTTATTTTTCCAACCCATTTTGGCGCCCCCTAAGCTCGGCGCCCGGGGACATATGTCCCCCCCCCCGCCCCCCCCCCCCTCGCTACGCTACTGGATACACCCATGTACCCCTCTAAACTAGATACACCCATGTACCCCCCACCTAGATTTATATATGTACCCCCACCCTAGATACACCCATGTACCCACCCACCTAGATACATAGATGTGCCCCCACCCGAGATACACCCATGTGCCCCACCCCCAAGATACACCCATGTACCCCCACCCCTAGAAACAAACATGTGCCCCCACCCTAGATACACCCATGTACTCCCCCATATACACCCATGTACCCCCCCCCCCCCCCATTGATACAACCATAAGCCCCATAGAAACATTATGTCCCGCTGTATACACTCATGTCTTTCTAGATAACACACCTGCCACCCCACCAGATACACCCTTGCCCCCCCCCCCCCCCAGATACACCCTTGCCCCCCCCTCCAGATAAACCCTTGCGCCCCCCCCCCCCCAGATAAACCCTTGCCCCCCCCCCCCCCCCCCCCCAGGATACACCCATGTTTGTAAGGAATGTTTGTCTCCCCCCACACCTTAAGCTTGTAATTATCTTGAACAGTTGTCAGCTGTCAATCACTCAACGGATCGATGAATCAATCGATCAATGAATCGACGAATCAATCGATAAGGTTAGCCTTGTGTTCACTCCCTTGTCCCAGTTCACTCCAGTCATATGACCTCCTGCTTCAGTCATATGACCTCCTGCTTCAGTCATATGACTTACGGCTCCAATCCCATTGTTTCTTGCCTAAAGGTCACGTGTTCTTGACATGAGAAAATCTTGATCACGGAATTATCGATCTAGTGTGTGTCTTGGGCGTGCTATATCACTGTCTTCATTCAAGCGGCTAGTGTCTTGTGAGACAGTGTGTCTTGGGCGTGCTATATCACTGTCTTCATTCAAGCGGCTAGTGTCTTGTGAGACAGTGTGTCTTGGGCGTGCTATATCACTGTCTTCATTCAAGCGGCTAGTGTCTTGTGAGACAGTGTGTCTTGGGCGTGCTATATCACTGTCTTCATTCAAGCGGCTAGTGTCTTGTGAGACAGTGTGTCTTGGGCGTGCTATATCACTGTCTTCATTCAAGCGGCTAGTGTCTTGTGAGACAGTGTGTCTTGGGCGTGCTATATCGCTGTCTTAATTCAAGCGGCTAGTGTCTTGTGAGACAGTGTGTCTTACAATACCCGTCTTAACACATAGTATCGAGACATTTGTGTCGAGACACTTGGGATGGGATGTATGTCAAGACACCTCTGACACCTCTAAATGTGAAGACACCTTTAAATGTGAAGACACCATTGGTCTAAGGCTACTCCTACATGTAAGTTTTTAATCATCAAGTATTTTTTATTAATTATTTTTAGATTTCTCTTTCGGTGGGCCACGTCGGTCTTACAGGAGGTATGTAGACACACCTTGAGGTTATCGCTCAACGGATTGTAAGGGGTTGGAGGGTTGTAGGGTTGGCAGACTGTTGGGTTGACAGGCGGTAGGGTTGGCAGGTTGTAAGGTTGACAGGCTGAAGGGTTGGCAGGTTGTAGTGTTGGCAGGTTGTAGTGTTGGCTGATTGTAGGGTTGGCTGATTGTAAGGTTGGCAGGTTGTAAGGTTGGCTGGTTGTAAGGTTGGCAGTCTGCAGGGTTGGCGGGTTGTAGGGTTGGTTGCAAGACTGCTTACATGACCTACCCCAAAAAAAACACTTACACCGTCAGGACACGGTACGATGAACCACGAGAGGTAATTAGCTAAAGTCAATCAACCGTCACACCTAGATGTGTACCAGTGACGTCACATGGTCGCCTCGCTCCAGTGAACCCTGGAGGTGTTGGCGGCGAACGGAGTGACTAATTAGCCTGATTAGTGAACACCGCCTCGGTGAATAGTGAATTGACTGATCAGAACTGATTAAATTTTTTTTTACTAGTTCAGGCCATTTGTGTTGCATGTTAGAAGGTGGGGTCATATATGGTAGGGTCACATATGGTGGGGTCACATATGGTGGGGTCACATATGGTGGGGTCACATATGGTGGGGTCACATATGGTGGGGTCACATATGGTGGGGTCACATATGGTGGGGTCACATATGGTGGGGTCAACTATGGTGGGGTCACATATGGTGGGGTCACATATGGTGGGGTCAACTATGGTGGGGTCACATACGGTGGGGTCACATATGGTGGGGTCACATATGGTGGGGTCAACTATGGTGGGGTCACATATGGTGGGGTCACATATGGTGGGGTCACATATGGTGGGGTCACATATGGTGGGGTCACATATGGTGGGGTCACATATGGTGGGGTCAACTATGGTGGGGTCACATATGGTGGGGTCACATATGGTGGGGTCACATATGGTGGGTCACATAGGTGGGGTCACATATCACGGGGTCACATATGGTGGGGTCACATATGGTGGGGTCAACTATGGTGGGGTCACATATGGTGGGGTCACATATGGTGGGGTCACATATGGTGGGGTCAACTATGGTGGGGTCACATATGGTGGGGTCACATATGGTGGGGTCTCTATAGACTTGGTGGTGTGGGTTCACTAGATGACTTTCACTTTCTAGAATCTTCCACACACCACACACACAATTTCTTCACCACACCACCTGAGGACACATGACACCGACAGGTGGAGACCAAAAGAGGGGGGAGGGGTTGAAGAGGTGTGTCCAATTTATTTCCCTCTCTGACGGAATGGTCCAAAATTCTAATGTACAAAAAAAATAACTGAAGATCAAGGAAAACTCTAATTGGACATTAATTACACATTTAGGACACATTAAGGATACATTAAGGACACATTAAGGACACATTAAGGACACATTAAGGACACATTAAGGACACATTAAGGACACATTAATTACATATTTAGGACACATTTAGGACACATTAAGGACACCTTAAGGACACATTAAGGACACATTAATTACATATTTAGGACACATTTAGGACATATTTAGGACACATTTAGGACACATTAAGGACACATTAAGGACACAATAATTACATATTTAGGACAAATTAGGGACACATTAAGGACACAATAAGGACACATTAAGGACACATTAAGGACACATTAAGGACACATTAAGGACACATTAATTACATATTTAGGACACATTTAGGACACATTAAAGACACATTAAGGACACATTAATTACATATTTAGGACACATTTAGGACACATTTAAGACACATTTAGGACACATTAAGGACACATTATATAGAAGCATTCAATGCAGATTTCAGCGGTGCGACAATCCGAATCAAATTCCTTGAACAAGTTCCAGGATTCTTACTTTTATGGCCCCTTGTGCTGAGATCAATGATCAATAATCGATAAACGCTGGGGATAATTTATACCACGGGTCTGGGACCGCACTCACACGGAACCCTTATTAAAATCTCGTTCATTCACGACCCCCAGGTTTGACCCTCTTGCCGGTCGACCGGCTGTCAAGCCGGCAATAAGACAGCTATGATCGGTCCTCAATAGTTCAGCCGTCAGCGACTTGAAAAGTGTTGAAATGTGCGCCAAACCTTACACCATTTATTTGTGCGTTAGGTCATGACCATAGGAAATATAAGGTCACGACCATAGGATATATAATTTTCACAAAAACCTTATCACAAGTTTTTAAGTGCGCACAAAAAAAAAAAGAAAAAAATTAAAACAATTTTAGCTATAAATAGTAACAGTATTACCATTAAAAAGATATCCTGTCGACAAGCGCTGTACTAGTACCACGTTTTCTTAAACATCCGTGGTACGTTTAAAAAGAAATCAGAATGTATTTTAAACTCTCAAGTCTTAGCATTCGTGTAATCCCACCTCCACCCTGCTCCTACTCCCCCCCCCCCCACAACCCCAAATGCTAAAATCACATATTCTATCTTGTAATCTCGCATGTACCCCCACGTGAAAAGTTTAATATTTGGAAGGAAAAAAAGTTTTGTGCTTTTGTCATTTGAAAATCTTTGCTAGAAATTAATCAAAATTGGTTAAATTAATTAGAATAACCGATGAAATTAGACCATGTAAATATAACAGGACTGTATGATGGACTAATGATGGACTGTATAATGGACTGTATGATGGTCTGTATGATGGTCTGTATGATGGTCTGTATGATGGTCTGTATGATGGACTTATGATGGACTGTATAATGGACTGTATGATGGACTGTATGATGGTCTGTATGATGGTCTGTATGATGGACTGTATGATGGTCTGTATGATGGTCTGTATGATGGACTGTATCATGGACTGTATGATGTTCTGTATTATGGACTGTATGATGGTCTCTATGATGGACTGTATGATGGTCTGTATGATGGACTGTATGATGGACTGTATGATGGACTGTATGATGGACTGTATGATGGTCTGTATGATGGACTGTATAATGGCCTGTATGATGGACTGTATGATGGACTGTATGATGGACTGTATGATGAACTGTATGATGGTCTGTATGATGGACTGTATGATGGTCTGTATGATGGACTGTATGATGGACTGTATGATGGACTGTATGATGGACTGTATAATGGCCTGTATGATGGACTGTATAATGGACTGTATGATGGACTGTATGATGGACTGTATAATGGCCTGTATGATGGACTGTATGATGGACTGTATGATGGACTGTATGATGGCCTGTATGATGGACTGTATGATGGTCTGTATGATGGACTGTATGATGGTCTGTATGATGGACTGTATGATGGTCTGTATGATGGACTGTATGATGGTCTGTATGATGGACTGTATGATGGTCTGTATGAGACGTAGCTGCTCACAATTTACTTTTTTTGGCCGTCCTTTATGTTTAGACTATAAACATGTCTTAGACTGTCTTCATGTCTTAGACTGTCTTCATGCCTTAGACTGTCTTCATGTATTAGTTGTTAGACTGTCTTCATGTCTTAGTTGTTAGACTGTCTTCATGTCTTAGACTGTCTTCATGTCTTAGACTGTCTTCATGTCTTAGACTGTCTTCATGTCTCAGTTGTTAGCCTGTCTTCATGTCTTAGTTGTTAGACTGTCTTCATGTCTTAGTTGTTAGACTGTCTTCATGTCTTAGTTGTTAGACTGTCTTCATGTCTTAGACTGTCTTCATGTCTTAGTTGTTAGACTGTCTTCATGTCTTAGTTGTTAGACTGTCTTCATGTCTTAGTTGTTAGACTGTCTTCATGTCTTAGTTGTTAGACTGTCTTCATGTCTTAGTTGTTAGACTGTCTTCATGTCTTAGACTGTCTTCATGTCTTAGACTGTCTTCATGTCTCAGTTGTTAGCCTGTCTTCATGTCTTAGACTGTCTTCATGTCTTAGTTGTTAGACTTTCTTCATGTCTTAGTTGTTAGACTGTCTTCATGTATTAGTTGTTAGACTGTCTTCATGTCTTAGTTGTTAGACTGTCTTCATGTCTTAGACTGTCTTCATGTCTTAGACTGTCTTCATGCCTCAGTTGTTAGCCTGTCTTCATGTCTTAGTACTGTCTTCATGTCTTAAATTGACGTTTTGGTGCCATTAGCAACCCCCTACCTACCCAGACACAATCTACCTACCCCAAACACCCCCTACCTACCCCTGACACCCCCTACCTACCCCAGACACCTCCCTACCTACCCCAAACACCCCCTACCTACACAAGACACCCCCCTACCTACCCCAGACACCCCCTACCTACCCCTGACAGCCCCCTACCTACCCCAGACACCCCTCTACCTACCCCAGACACCCCCACCTACCCCAGACACCCCCCTACCTACCCCAGACACCCACTACCCCAGACACCTTCCCCCAACCTACCCCAGACAACCCCCTACCTACCCCAGACACCCCCCTCCCCTACCTACCCCATACACCCCCCTACCTACCCCAGACACCCCCCTCCCCTACCTACCCCATACACCCCCCTACCTACCCCAGACACCCCCCTCCCCTACCTACCCCATACACCCCCGAGGTACCAGCCGTTTCACTGGAAGCCTGTGAATAAAAATATGCGGAGGTTAAAGTTCAAATACGTGTTTCTATCTTCCCTTGAGATTAACGCACAGTGACCTGCACACTTTGCCCTCCCCACGGCACCCTCCCCACGGCACCCTCCCCACGGCGCCCTACCCACGGCGCCCTACCCACGGCGCCCTACCCACGGCACCCTCCCCACGGCGCCCTACCCACGGCGCCCTACCCACGGCGCCCTATCCAAGCTGTCCATTGATAACCCAACTATGCCACAACAAAGTCGACTACTTTTATAAAGTCAATATCGATTACCATAACCCTTTCACCGTCATCACGCGATGAGTGGGTACGATTATATTGTGTACGATCGTAGAATCGATTTCTCGGCAGGATGAATTGAGCCACTTAGTATCGATACCATGGACGTCAGTTTACCCACGGCCTACAGAGACGTCAAAAAAGAGGAACGATAACTAGCAAAAGGGAATAACTGAAGGGGATTAATGGGAACACATCAGGTGCCGAGGTAACTCATGAATTTAAACATGTGATGACTTTAGTAAGGGTTAGGGTTATGACGTCAGTTGATGCTATAATTGATAGAATATCACATGGTTGGTTAGAGAGTTCAAATGTTGACATTGTTCACGTAAGTCTGACCGGGTTGTTTCAATGAACAAAATCTAATTCAACTTTCTCATTTATCTCCAAACTATTTCGGTTAGTCCCATTTTGTCAAATAATTAAACCAAGCTGACAGATACTATAAATAGAACACTTTACAACCCACCAAATACCCACCATAAACCCACGACCCCGCCCCCCACTAACCAACAATAACAAATATAAAACTGTAAAACAATAATTCTGGACCCAGGCTTCAGTGATCGATTAGGTTCGATCAGGAGCAGTTCACGATTGTTTCGATTTCAATAAACCAATCAATCAGTAGGTCTATATTAGCAAACTGATCTTAGGCATTATCGATAACTTTTCAATTAACCGTAATTAGCGATGGATATTTTAAGTTTTCATTAACCGTGATTAGCAATGGACATTTAAATGTTTAATTAATCCGTAATTAACAATGGACATTTAAATGTTTAATTAATCCGTAATTAGCAATGGACATTTAAATGTTTAATTAATCCGTAATTACCAATGGACATTTAAATGTTAAATAAATCAGTAATTAGCAATGGACATTTAAATGTTTGATTAATCCGTAATTAGCAATGGAAATTTAATGTTTAATTAATCCGTAATTAGCAATGGACATTTGAATGCTTAATTAATCCGTAATTAGCAATTGACATTTAAATGTTTAATTAATCCGTAATTAGCAATTGACATTTAAATGTTTAATTAATCCGTAATTAGCAATGGAAATTTAATGTTTAATTAATCCGTAATTAGCAATGGGCATTTAAATGTTTAATTAATCCGTAATTAGCAATTGACATTTAAATGTTTAATTAATCCGTAATTAGCAATGGACATTTAAATGTTTAATTAATCCGTAGTTAGCAATGGAAATTTAATGTTTAATTAATCCGTAATTAGCAATGGACATTTAAATGTTTAATTAATCCGTAATTACAATGGACATTTAAATATTTAATTAATCCGTATTTAGCAATTGCCATTTAAATGTTTAATTAATCCGTAATTAGCAATGGACATTTAAATGTTTAATTAATCCGTAATTAGCAATGGACATTTAAATGTTTAATTAATCCGTAATTAGCAATGGACATTTAAATGTTTAATTAATCCGTAATTAGCAATTGACATTTAAATGTTTAATTAATCCGTAATTAGCAATGGACATTTAAATGTTTAATTAATTCGTAATTAGCAATGGACATTTAAATGTTTAATTAATCCGTAATTAGCAATGGACATTTAAATGTTTAATTAATCCGTAATTAGCAATTGACATTTAAATGTTTAATTAATCCGTAATTAGCAATGGACATTTAAATGTTTAATTAATTCGTAATTAGCAATGGACATTTAAATGTTTAATTAATCCGTAATTAGCAATGGACATTTAAATGTTTAATTAATTCGTAATTAGCAATGGACATTTAAATGTTTAATTAATCCGTAGTTAGCAATGGACATTTAAATGTTTAATTAATCCGTAATTAGCAATGGACATTTAAATGTTTAATTAATTCGTAATAAGTAATGGACATTTAAATGTTTAATTAATTCGTAATAAGTAATGGACATTTAACATTTTTAGTCATGTGACTGGCTGTAATGTTCACATCAAGAGCCAAGAGGTAGCCTAGTTGTAGCCTAGGTCTAGAGGTAGCCTAGACGTAGCCTAGGTCTAGAGGTAGCCTAGTTGTAGCATAGGTATAGAGGTAGCCTAGGTGTAGCCTAGGTCTAGAGGTAGCCTAGGTGTAGCCTAGGTCTAGAGGTAGCCTAGACGTAGCCTAGGTCTAGAGGTAGCCTAGGTGTAGCCTAGGTCTAGAGGTAGCCTAGGTGTAGCCTAGGTCTAGAGGTAGCCTAGGTGTAGCCTAGGTCTAGAGGTAGCCTAGGTGTAGCCTAGGTCTAGAGGTAGCCTAGAGGTAGCCTAGGTCTAGAGGTAGCCTAGGTGTAGCCTAGGTCTAGAGGTAGCCTAGGTGTAGCCTAGGTCTAGAGGTAGCCTAGAGGTAGCCTAGAGGTAGCCTAGACGTAGCGTAGGTCTAGAGGTAGCCTAGGTCTAGAGGTAGCCTAGGTCTAGAGGTAGCCTAAGTCTAAAGGTAGCCTAGAGGTAGCCTAGAGGTAGCCTAGGTCCTGTTACGAGCCTTAAACAGGTTTCGTTATCTCGCCCGTCCAACATAGCTTGCTGGATGTCAGACGACAGACGACAGTTTGATGAGCTACTAGCTGTAAACGCCTCCAATCAATTGATCTGGTACACCAAAGTGTTTGTTTAGCAAGAGACTAACGTAAACATTGCAGTAATTTGTAAAAACAACAAGTGGTGCGGAGGTTAATTAGATTAATTAGGTTAATTAATCAAATGTTTATTCCGATGTCAGTCAGCTGAGAAAATGTGTTCTGCTGTTGTGACAAGACGTGTGGTGTGTGGTGTGTGATGTGTGATGTGTGGTGTGTGGTGTGTGGTGTGTGGTGTGTGGTGTGTGATGTGTGATATGTGATGTGTGATGTGTGATGTGTGATGTGTGATGTGTGATGTGTGATGTGTGATGTGTGATGTGTGGTGTGTGGTGTGTGGTGTGTGGTGTGTGGTGTGTGGTGTGTGGTGTGTGGTGTGTGATGTGTGATGTGTGATGTGTGATGTGTGATGTGTGATGTGTGATGTGTGATGTGTGGTGTGTGGTGTGTGGTGTGTGGTGTGTGGTGTGTGGTGTGTGATGTGTGGTGTGTGATGTGTGATGTGTGATGTGTGATGTGTGATGTGTCATGTGTGGTGTGTGATGTGTGATGTGTGATGTGTGACGTGCGATGTGTGATGTGTGATGTGTGATGTGTGATGTGTGGTGTGTTATGTGTGACGTGCGATGTGCGATGTGTGGTGTGTGATGTGTGGTCATCTGATGACGTCATACTCGAGCTAGTAAATAGCGAAACTCGTCATTACATAATAGCACGTTTATCAGCCAATCAGAGAAGTCCAACTTGGACTGGAAGGGCGCCAGTGCTGGCAATGAGAGATCGATGAAAAAAGTGTTCAATAGCTCGTCTGACGGGCGCCCAAGTCGCGGGATTAGCGGGACCAGCGCGCCGTGAATGCATTTTGAGAGAAACACGTGTTCAGCCATTGAGCTTGGATTAAGTCAGTAGATCAAGGGTTTAATCCCACGTGAAATCAGCAGCTAGTTGGGATTAATAAAACACAAGCAACCAATCGTGAGTAGGAGAGTCTTTGTTTCATGTACCGTCCGCTAGTAGCGGCGACTCGGTTAGGTGGGGGGGGGGGGGGGTGACTGATGGAGTGAATATGACTTATATGACTGACTGTGTCAATATGACTTACATGACTGACTAGGTCAATGACTTATATGACTGACTGTCTAATATGACTTATATGACTGATTGTATCAAAATGACTTATACAACAGACGGAGTGAATATGACTTACATGACTGACTGTGTCAATACGACTTACATGACTGACTGTGTCAATACGACTTACATGACTGACTGTGTCAATACGACTTACATGACTGACTGTGTCAATACGACTTACATGACTGACTGTGTCAATATGACTTACATGACTGACTGTGTCAATACGACTTACATGACTGACTGTGTCAATATGACTTACATGACTGACTGTGTCAATATGACTTACATGACTGACTGTGTCAATATGACTTACATGACTGACTGTGTCAATATGACTTACATGACTGACTGTGTCAATATGACTTACATGACTGACTGTGTTATTTACTTAATTATTAAATTATTTCTCGACAACCTAGACAGTTGTCTTTAGTTAAAGAATTTTTAATTTGCTTAAAGACACCCCATACTGGCTAATTAATTAAAGACGTTAATCTGCCGTATGACGTTTACAAGACCTAACTTTGTGTAAGTGTAATCTGTGTAATATGTATGTACTGTATGTCTATTACTTAGGTAATATGTATGCAATAAGTGTAATATATCTGTACCACGTGTGTAATATGTATGTAATACATGTGTAAGATGTGCGTAGTATGTCTGTTGTACGTCCCATCTTCCTTACGCTAACATCTGATAAATATTTTGTTTGTGAACGTAGAATGTTGGACGGACCAACCCACAACTAGACCTACACTGCCGCTGAGGGCCCCCTACCATCCCCTGTCTAGTAGAGCCCCCCCCCCCCCCCCAAGCCAACATGTCGGTTACCTTACGCAGGCACCGGTCAGCGGAGCCCTACAGGGGCCCCTTTGGCCCCACCCCCGTGAGTCACGTGGGGTACCTGGAGAGTCGACACCTGCACCCTGAGAGGCTGCCCAGCAGGAAGAAGGAACAAGTTGTCTCCCTTCGTCTTCTGGATGTCAGCAGGGAGACTATCACTAACGTCACGGTGGGTTCACGTTGTCAGGGGTGGGTTCACGTTGTCACATTGTCACGATGGGTTCATGTTGTCACGTTGTCACGTTGTCACTGTGGGTTCACATTGTCACGTTGTCACGTTGTCACGGTGGGTTCACGTTGTCACATTGTCACATTGTCACGTTCTCTGTTTTCTTTGACTTTATTTCTGTGACGTTTTTTCCCAGCGAAAACTTTTTTTTCCTGTGTTTTTTCCTGTGACTTTTTCCGTTCACATGTATGATTCAACATATGACCCCCATAGGACCCCCATGTATGATCCAACATAGGACCCCCATAGGACCCACACATGCAACCCACCAGCGTAATCGAAGTACGACCTGCACGATCAACCCAGCCATAACTGATTGGTTAGATAATGAACCCCGTCATTGATTTTTTTACTTTGATCTACGAACCGATAAACTAATCATGATCGATCTAGATCAACTTCGATCATAACAAAACATCGCGTGGGTGCTCAGTCAAGCGTGTCGGGTTTTAGAAGTAACACGTCACACAGTAAGTGATGCATGGCTTGCTGTATGTGTCATATGTCACACAGTAAGTGATGCATGGCTTGCTGTATGTGTCATATGTCACACAATAGGTGATGCATGGCTTGCTGTATGTGTCATATGTCACACAGTAAGTGATGCATGGCTTGCTGTATGTGCCATATGTCACACAGTAGGTGATGCATGGCTTGCTGTATGTGTCATATGTCACACAGTAAGTGATGCATGGCTTGCTGTATGTGTCATATGTCATGGGTTTCGATCCCGCAGAATGTGGCGCCGACAGTGAGGCGGCTGGTGGCGACCAACCTGAGCCTGCTGATGGTGCCAGACGATCTGCTGTCTGGCCTCGTGCACCTGACCAAACTGGACATCAGCAACAACAGGCTGGGGGACGGCTCCTTCCCAGGTCAGCCTGACATGCCACCTCACGGTGTCTGTCTAAATTAGCAATTGATGTTTTGGAACTGTTAGTGTGTTTCTTTGTGTGTGTCTGTGTGTCTGTGTGTCTGTGTGTCAGTATGTCTGTGTGTCTTTGTTTTTGTGTGTGTCTAGATGTCTGCGTGTGTCTGTGTGTCTGTGTATGTCTGTATGTATGCGTGTATGTCTGTGTGTCTGTGTCTGTGTGTCTTTCTGTGTGTGTGTGTGACTGTGTGTGTCTGTGTGTCTGTGTGTGTCTGTGTCTGTGTATGTCTGTGTGTCTGTGTCTTTGTGTCTGTGTGTCTGTGTGTGTGTGTCTGTGTGTCTGTGTGTGTGTGACTGTGTGTGTCTGTGTGTCTGTGTGTGACTGTGTGTGTCTGTGTGTCTGTGTATGTCTGTGTGTCTGTGTCTGTGTGTCTGTGTGTCTGTGTGTGTGTGTCTGTGTGTATGTGTCTGTGTGTGACTGTGTGTGTCTGTGTGTGTGTGTGACTGTGTGTGTCTGTGTGACTGTGTGTCTGTGTGTGTGACTGTGTGTGTGTGACTGTGTGTGTCTGTGTGTGACTGTGTGTGTCTGTGTGTGTGTCTGTGTGTCAGTATGTCTGTGTGTCTTTGTTTTTGTGTGTGTCTAGATGTCTGCGTGTGTCTGTGTGTCTGTGTATGTCTGTATGTATGCGTGTATGTCTGTGTGTCTGTGTCTTTGTGTCTTTGTGTCTTTGTGTCTGTGTGTCTGTGTGTGTGTGTCTGTGTGTCTGTGTGTGTGTGTCTGTGTGTGTGTCTGTGTGTGACTGTGTGTGTCTGTGTGTGTGTGTGACTGTGTGTGTCTGTGTGACTGTGTGTCTGTGTGTGTGACTGTGTGTGTGTGACTGTGTGTGTCTGTGTGTGACTGTGTGTGTCTCTGTGTGTGTGTGTGTCTGTGTGTCTGTGTGTCCGTGTGTGTGTGTCTGTGTGTGACTGTGTGTGTCTGTGTGTCTGTGTGTGACTGTGTGTGTCTGTGTGACTGTGTGTCTGTGTTTGTGACTGTGTGTGTGTGTCTGTGTGTCTGTGTGTGTGTGACTCTGTGTGTCTGTGTGTGTGTGTTACTGTGTGTGTCTGTGTGTCTGTGTGTGTGTGACTCTGTGTGTCTGTGTGTCTTTGTGACTGTGTGTCTCTGTGTGTGTGTGTCTGTGTGTCTGTGTGAGTGTGTACAATGACAGCTAACCAAGTGCCACCTGCATGTGTAGATTCCATGGAGAGCCTGGACCAGCTACTGGAGGTCCGACTCAGCAGCAACTGTCTGACCAAGGTGCCGAGGTGCATCAGGAAACTCCGGAACCTGGCCCGACTAGATCTCAGCAACAACCAGGTCAGTTCTACATCCATGTGCCCACACACACGGCAACGGCACATGAGAGTGTCACCTCACTCTGTCCAGGTAGACTCACCTGCCACCTCTCTAAACTAGCCTGCCACCCCTCTCTGTGTGCAGGTAGACTCACCTGCCACCTCTCTAAACTCACCTGCCACCTCTCTAAACTCACCTGTCACCTCTCCAAACTCACCTGCCACCTCTCTAAACTCACCTGCCACCTCTCTAAACTCACCTGCCACCTCTCCAAACTCACCTGCCACCTCTCTAAACTCACCTGCCACCTCTCTAAACTCACCTGCCACCTCTCCAAACTCACCTGCCACCCCTCTCTGTGTCCAGGTAGACTCACCTGCCACCTCTCTAAACTCACCTGCCACCCCTCTCTGTGTCCAGGTAGACTCACCTGCCACCTCTCTAAACTCACCTGCCACCCCTCTCTGTGTGCAGGTAGACTCACCTGCCGGCCTTGAGAAACTCCGGAAGCTCCAGATCCTAGTGCTCGACAACAACAAACTGACGTCATTGATTAAAGAAATTTCTGGGTTAAAAAAGCTGGAGATCCTCAGGTGTAGCGGCAACAGGCTTCACGAGGTGAGTCACGTGACCTTAATCAGCTGACGTTGGTCACTCACACCTGCAGTACAACGGCTCAAATGTGTCTGACCTACATTGACGTGTCTGACCTACTTTGGCGTGTCTGACCTACATTGGCGTGTCTGACCTACTTTGGCGTGTCTGACCTACATTGGCGTGTCTGACCTACATTGGCGTGTCTGACCTACATTGGCGTGTCTGACCTACATTGGTTTGTCTGCCCTACATAGGTGTGTCTGACCTACATTGTATTTATCCAAAAGGTGTCACGTGATATTCGACATTTAAAAAAACTAGTTGACCTAGATTTGTCGGACAACCGGATCACGTGCTTGCCGACGGATATTTTTCTGTTGCCTGATTTAGATGTCGTTGACCTCAGTCAAAACGAGGTAGATTTTTCTTTCAGATTTTAGCATCTTATTGTAGACAAGACGAATGTGCTTGTTATTCTGCGTGTGTGGGTCATTGAATGTCAGTCTGTATGTGTGTATGTGTGTGTGTGACTGTGTGATCCCCTGTTCTACACATCTGTTGTCCCCCCCCCACCCCCCCCCCCCCAAGATCTCGAAAGTTCCGACACTCCGACAACGTCACCAAGACAACAGGTGTCTGTCTGCCATCGACCTGTCGGACAACAAGCTGCTCACCTGTCCGACACACCTGCTGCTGTTCACAGACAGGCTCGATGTCAGCGGCAACCACATCAAGGTCTTGCCCTACAGCCTGGTCAAGGTGAGTACCGGCTTGCCTACAACCACATCAAGGTCAAGGTCATGCCCTACAGCCTGGTCAAGGTGAGTACCGGCTTGCCTACAACCACATCAAGGTCAAGGTCATGCCCTACAGCCTGGTCAAGGTGAGTACCGGCTTGACACTTGTCTGACCTAGTTTAGCACCGTATGACCTAGTTATACACCTACCGGACTTATGGCCTTGAATGACCACGTGTGACCTAATTAAATTGACCTATTTGTCAGAAACTCGATGACAGCCGAAACCAAGACCTCCTGGTGGACGACAACCCCCTGACCTACCCACCCCCCGAGGTCTGCCTCTCGGGCCTCAAGAACATTGTGACCTACTTTCAAGAGAGTAGGTCGGAGGTCAAAGTTTACCAAGGAATTAAGGTAAGAAAATCTGACCAATCGGCGACGTTTTAAAAATTGCTCATACAAGGGTGCAAATCGTTTTGAAGTACAATAATGTCGGCGTCCTGAGACCTTGTAACTTCCCATGTTTGAGGTTCTAGTTGAGACCTTGTAACTTCCCATGTTTGAGGTTCTAGTTGAGACCTTGTAACTTCCCATGTTTGAGGTTATAGTTGAGACTTTGTAACTTCCCATGTTTGAGGTTATAGTTGAGACCTTGTAACCTGTCGAGTTGAGACCTTGTAACCTGTCTAGTTGAGACCTTGTAACCTGTCTAGTTGAGACCTTGTAACCTGTCTAGTTGAGACCTTGTAACCTGTCTAGCTGAGACCTTGTAACTTCCCATGTTTCAGGTTCTAGTTGAGACCTTGTATCCTGTCTAGTTGAGACCTTGTAACCTGTCTAGTTGAGACCTTGTAACCTGTCTAGTTGAGACCTTGTAACCTGTCTAGTTGAGACCTTGTAACCTGTCTAGCTGAGACCTTGTAACCTGTCTAGTTGAGACCTTGTAACCTATCTAGTTGAGACCTTGTAACCTGTCTAGTTGAGACCTTGTAACCTGTCGAGTTGAGACCTTGTAACCTGTCTAGTTGAGACCTTGTAACCTGTCTAGTTGAGACCTTGTAACCTGTCTAGTTGAGACCTTGTAACCTGTCTAGCTGAGACCTTGTAACTTCCCATGTTTCAGGTTCTAGTTGAGACCTTGTATCCTGTCTAGTTGAGACCTTGTAACCTGTCTAGTTGAGACCTTGTAACCTGTCGAGTTGAGACCTTGTAACCTGTCTAGTTGAGACCTTGTAACCTGTCTAGCTGAGACCTTGTAACCTGTCTAGTTGAGACCTTGTAACCTGTCTAGTTGAGACCTTGTAACCTGTCTAGTTGAGACCTTGTAACCTGTCTAGTTGAGACCTTGTAACCTGTCTAGCTGAGACCTTGTAACCTGTCTAGTTGAGACCTTGTAACCTGTCTAGTTGAGACCTTGTAACCTGTCTAGTTGAGACCTTGTAACTTCCCATGTTTCAGGTCCATGTTGAGACCTTGTAACTTGCCATGTTTCAGGTCCATGTTGAGACCTTGTAACTTCCCATGTTTCAGGTCCATGTTGTAGGGCACCACCAGAGCGGCAAGACGTCCCTGGTGCAGACCCTGGTGGAGCAACAGACCCGGATGTCTGAAGACGTGCAGGACAGTACGGCCGGCCTGGACACGGTCAGCTGGGGCATCGAGCTGGAGACCCTGGAGGACGGGAGGCCGGGCAAAGCTCTGGAGGTCAGTGGCAACATTAGGTCTATCGCACTCCGTCAACACTTTAAGTCGGGAGCTACAACATTAGGTCTATCGCACTCCGTCAACACTTTAAGTCGGGAGCTACAACATTAGGTCTATCGCACTCCGTCAACACTTTAAGTCGGGAGCTACAACATTAGGTCTATCGCACTCCGTCAACACTTTAAGTCGGGAGCTACAACATTAGGTCTATCGCACTCCGTCAACACTTTAAGTCGGGAGCTACAACATTAGTTGTATCGCTCTCCGTCAACACTTTAAGTCGGGAGCTACAACATTAGGTCTATCGCACTCCGTCAACACTTTAAGTCGGGAGCTACAACATTAGGTCTATCGCACTCCGTCAACACTTTAAGTCGGGAGCTACAACATTAGGTCTATCGCACTCCGTCAACACTTTAAGTCGGGAGCTACAACATTAGGTCTATCGCACTCCGTCAACACTTTAAGTCGGGAGCTACAACATTAGGTCTATCGCACTCCGTCAACACTTTAAGTCGGGAGCTACAACATTAGGTCTATCGCACTCCGTCAACACTTTAAGTCGGGAGCTACAACATTAGGTCTATCGCACTCCGTCAACACTTTAAGTCGGGAGCTACAACATTAGGTCTATCGCACTCCGTCAACACTTTAAAGAGTTTAAATTAACAGGGCTATATCACAAGTCAACCATTTTGTAAAAGTTCCTTCAATTGTATGACGTGGCTCTCGTCTGTTGCAGCTAAATGTCTGGGACTTCTGTGGCCACGCCTTCTACCTCTACCCACACTACATATTTCTGGAGCAGCCGGCTGTGACCTTACTGACCTTCAGCGTGCCGGAGTACCGGCCGGACCGGTTCCATGAGCTGCTAGGCTGCTGGTTGGACTGGATGATGGCGAAAAGCAACCAGCTGGTTGTCGTGCTGGTGGCGACACAGTGCGACATGGCGGACCGGCAACACGTGACGGAGGTAACTTCCGTTTGCTGTCGTGTGCTGTCGTGTGCTATCGTGTGCTGGCGTGTGCTGTCGTCTGCTGTCGTCTGCTGTCGTCTACTGTCGTCTGCTGTCGTGTGCTGTCGTGTGTTGTCGTGTGCTGTCGTGTGCTGTCGTCTACTGTCGTCTACTGTCGTGTGCTGTCGTCTGCTGTCGTGTGCTGTCGTGTGCTGTTGTGTGCTGTCGTCTGTTGTCTTGTGCTGTTGTGTGCGGTTGTGTGTTGTCGTGTGCTTTCGTCTACTGTCGTCTGCTGTCGTGTGCTGTTGTGTGCTGTCGTCTGCTGTCTTGTGCTGTTGTGTGCGGTCGTGTGTTGTCGTGTGCTGTCGTATGCTGTCGTGTGCTGTCGTGTGCTGTCGTGTGCTGTCGTGTGTTGTCGTGTGCTGTCGTGTGCTGTCGTCTACTGTCATCTACTGTCGTCTACTGTCGTCTGCTGACGTGTGCTGTCGTCTACTGTCGTCTACTGTCGTCTGCTGTCGTGTGCTGTCGTCTGCTGTCGTGTGCATAACGACGTGCTGTCGTGTGTTGTCGTGTGCTGTCGTGTGCTGTCGTGTGCTGTCGTGTGCTGTCGTGTGCTGTTTTGTGCTGTCGTGTGCTGTCGTGTGCTGTCGTGTGCTGTCGTGTGCTGTCGTGTGCTGTTTTGTGCTGTCGTGTGCTGTCGTGTGCTGTCGTGTGCTGTCGTGTGCTGTCGTGTGCTGTCGTGTGCTGTCGTGTGCTGTCGTGTGCTGTCGTGTACCTAACGACATGCTGTCGTCTGCTGTCGTGTGCCTAACGACATGCTGTCGTCTGCTGTCGTGTGCTGTCGTCTGCTGTCGTCTACTGTCGTGTGCCGTCGTGTTCTGTTGTGTGCTGTCGTGTGCCTAACGACGTGCTGTTGACAGGTGATGTCGGACGTACAAGCGCGAGTCTTGCAGCACATCGAGATGAAGAGTGACGTCATCAAAAGCCGGATCCGTGAGATTGAGGACCGGCCACAGATCTCCCCGACACTCTCAGACCAGCTGCAGGGGTATATCAGGCTACTGCAGGTGGGTGGGGGGGGGCGTGGGGGTGTGGGGTGGGTGGGGGGGGTACATCAGGCTACTGCAGGTGGGTGGGGGGGGGGGGGTTTGGGGGGTACATCAGGCTACTGCAGGTGGGTGGGGGGGGGGTACATCAGGCTACTGCAGGTGGGTGGGGGGGGGGGTTGGGGTGGGGGGTTCATCAGGCTACTGCAGGTGGGTGGGGGGGGGGTACATCAGGCTACTGCAGGTGGGTGGGGGGGGGTACATCAGGCTACTGCAGGTGGGTGGGGGGGGTACATCAGGCTACTGCAGGTGGGTGGGGGTATATCAGGCTACTGCAGGTGGGTGGGGTGGGGGGGTTGGGGTGGGGTGGGGGTGGGGGGTACATCAGGCTACTGCAGGTGGGTGGGGTGGGGGGGTTGGGGTGGGGTGGGGGTGGGGGGTACATCAGGCTACTGCAGGTGGGTGGGGTGGGGGAGGGTTTGGGGGGTACATCAGGCTACTGCAGGTGGGTGGGGTGGGGGGTGGGGGGTTGGGGTGGGGTGGGGGTGGGGGGTACATCAGGCTACTGCAGGTGGGTTGGGGTGGGGGTGGGGATGGGGGGTACATCAGGCTACTGCAGGTGGGTGGGTGGGGGGGGGTTGGGGTGGGGGTGGGGGGTACATCAGGCTACTGCAGGTGGGTGGGGTGGGGGGGTTGGGGTGGGGGTGGGGGGTACATCAGGCTACTGCAGGTGGGTTGGGGTGGGGGTGGGGATGGGGGTACATCAGGCTACTGCAGGTGGGTGGGGGGGTACATCAGGCTACTGCAGGTGGGTGGGTGGGGGGGGGGTTGGGGTGGGGGTGGGGGGTACATCAGGCTACTGCAGGTGGGTGGAGGTGGGGGGGTGGGGGGTGGGGGTGGGGGGTACAGCAGGCTACTGCAGGTGGGTGGGGGGGGTACATCAGGCTACTGCAGGTGGGTGGGGGTGGTGGTGGGGGGGTGGGGGGGTGGGGGCGGGGGTGGGGGTGGGGGTGGGGGGTACATCAGGCTACTGCAGGTGGGTGGGGGGGGATACATCAGGCTAATGCAGGTGGGGGTGGGGGCGGGGGTGGGGGGTACATCAGGCTACTGCAGGTGGGTGGGTGTGAGGGGGGTGGTGAGAGGGGGAGGGTTAGTGGTGAGAGGGAGAGGGTGGGGGAGGGTGGGGAGACTGGTGGAAGGGGGAGGGTGGGGGAGGGTGGGGGAGGGTGGGGAGACTGGTGAGAGTGGGATGGTTGGGGAGGGTGGGGAGACTGGTGAGAGGGGGAGGGTGGGGGAGGGTGGGGAGACTGGTGAGAGGGGGAGGGTGGGGGAGGGTGGGGAGACTGGTGAGAGGGGGAGGGTGGGGGAGGGTGGGGAAACTGGTGAGAGGGGGATGGTGGGGGAGGGTGGGGAGACTGGTGAGAGGGGGATGGTGGGGGAGGGTGGGGAGACTGGTGAGAGGGGGAGGGTGGGGGAGGGTGGAGAGACTGGTGAGAGGGGGAGGGTGGGGAGACTGGTGAGAGGGGGATGGTGGGGGAGGGCTACAACCTGTTGCTGCTCGCTCACCACCCATCTACAAAAGATCTAACCTGACCTTGTCTTCTCTTGACCAGGCTGTCAAGGTCACCATCTACCCGGAAGTCGTGTCGACCAGTGCTAGACGCTACACGGGCTTTGATCAGCTGACGCAGGCCATTCTTTCATTGGCTGGGGACAGACAACTCTTTCCAAACGTCATGAGAGTTATCCCAACGTTTTGGCTGGATGTACAACAATACTTTGAGGTCAAATATCAAATCTGTACACTGTACACATCCCTCATGTAACGCATAGCGGCACTAGCCGGCGTCCAGTAGCTGATGGAGGCGTATAGTGCCGGTGTGTCCGTCAATTAACTAACCGATGCTCTACTTGCAGGACAAGGGCAACTCCATGGCCTGGCCAGTTCTTAGGTTTGAAACGTTTCAGGAGGAAGTGACGTCACGCTTTGGGATGAAACACCTGGTGAAACCTATAGCTCAATATCTTCACGATACCGGGCAGGTGAGTGGTGGCTGAGGTGGTAGGTGTGGTTGGTGTGGTTAGTGGTCTGGTGGTGGCTGATGTGTGGTTGGTGTGGTTGCTGGTCTGGTGGTGGCTGATGTGTGGTTGGTGTGGTTGCTGGTCTGGTGGTGGCTGATGTGTGGTTGGTGTGGTTGCTGGTCTGGTGGTGGCTGATGTGTGGTTGGTGTGGTTGCTGGTCTGGTGGTGGCTGATGTGTGGTATGCGAGAATTGTCGGTTGTGTGAACCTTAACTACATCTATGAAATAAGCTTGTTTTATTAAATGTAATCAACTTAGCGATTTACATTGCCGTTAGATTTTGTGGTTTTCACATGTGGAGACGCTACGAGACTTGGTCTTTATACGGCCATCTTGGCTCTTTGACGTCTTCCGGTCCGTGTTACGTCACGACTTCAACACTTTGTCTTTCAGCTCACTCGAGGTTCACAGGTGAGTGTTGCTACTCCACAACCACAGACACTATCAATATAACCACCACCAACATCACCACCAACATCACCACCATCACCACCATCACCACCAACATCACCACCAACATCACCACCACCATCATAAAGACAACCATCGACATTGCAACCAGCATCACCGACACCAACACCACCATCAAGACAACCATCAACATCTCTACCAGCACCAACAACATCACCACCGTCACCACATCAGCACCACCCTATGTTACCCTCCAGTCTGACTCTCTAGTCTGACTCTTCAGTCTGACTCTCTAGTCTGACTCTCTAGTCTGACTCTCTAGTCTGACTCTCCAGTCTGACTCTCTAGTCTGACTCTCCAGTCTGACTCTCTGACTCTCCAGTCTGACTCTCTGACTCTCCAGTCTGACTCTCTGACTCTCCAGTCTGACTCTCTGACTCTCCAGTCTGACTCTCTGACTCTCCAGTCTGACTCTCTGACTCTCTAGTCTGACTCTCTGACTCTCCAGTCTGACTCCCTGACTCTCCAGTCTGACTCTCTGACTCTCTAGTCTGACTCTCCAGTCTGACTCTCTAGTCTGACTCTCCAGTCTGACTCTCTAGTCTGACTCTCTAGTCTGACTCTCCAGTCTGACTCTCTAGTCTGACTCTCCAGTCTGACTCTCTAGTCTGACTCTCCAGTCTGACTCTCCAGTCTGACTCTCTAGTCTGACTCTCCAGTCTGACTCTCTGACTCTCCAGTCTGACTCTCTAGTCTGACTCTCCAGTCTGACTCTCTGACTCTCTAGTCTGACTCTCTGACTCTCCAGTCTGACTCCCTGACTCTCCAGTATGACTCTCTGACTCTCTAGTCTGACTCTCCAGTCTGACTCTCTAGTCTGACTCTCCAGTCTGACTCTCTAGTCTGACTCTCTAGTCTGACTCTCCAGTCTGACTCTCTAGTCTGACTCTCCAGTCTGACTCTCTAGTCTGACTCTCCAGTCTGACTCTCCAGTCTGACTCTCTAGTCTGACTCTCCAGTCTGACTCTCTGACTCTCCAGTCTGACTCTCTAGTCTGACTCTCCAGTCTGACTCTCTGACTCCAGTCTGACTCTCCAGTCTGACTCTCTGACTCTCCAGTCTGACTGCGGCACGGTTTGAAAGATTGAAGAAAGAAGCTTGGTCGGACGGCGTCCTCGACCGTGACCTTGCTAGATGTATCCTCGCGCCCCTGGTGACCTCTGACCCCATGAACCTGACCAATGATGTCATGCATCTGTTGACCCAACATTTTCAGCTCGGCTACTCCATCATCAAAAAACAGTCTGACTCCTCAACTCCAAACAAAAAACAGCCTGACTCCTCCTACTCTCTGACGCCTGAGAGGGAGGGGCCGGCACCCCACTTGTCCAAGATTTTGATGCCGTGGCTAAGGAAGAACACGGAGCCAGGGGAGTTCACCGCAGTCTGGGGCAGCATGGGAAGTAAGCAGCGACTTGAGGCCGTCTTCCTGTTCCCAAACTACTTCCCACCCGGGATCTTTGAGGTCATGTGCGTTAGGACGCACAGCGACGCACACAAGCTGCGCTTCCTACACCACTGGAATACAGGTGTGCACGCACTACAGGTGGATGAGCAGGTGCACGTGCTGATATCGTACTCTCGTGAGCACGGCCAGACGTGGTTCAAGGTCGAGGTCAAGCGAGACAAGGCCGTCTCGGTAGAGGACGACAACACGACGGCTCTCTGGGCGGTGTTGTTGCCCCTGATCATGGACATGGAGGAGCTACTGGGCACATACGCAGGTAAGGTGCACTTGACATGTGACATACACAGGTAAGGTGCACTTGACATTGGGCAGGTGACCAAGATTTCACCTGTCTTACAGGAGTTCTCGTGGAGCGGCTGATGGGGTGCCCGTCCTGCAGGCAAGCGACGTTCCTGGGGGAGTGGTTGACGCCTAAAGAGACGCAAGGCATGACGGTCAGCTCATGTGACACATGTGGAGACGACATAGACACCGCCTACCTGGTACAGCCGAGAGAGAAAAAGCGAGGTAACCGAGAGGGGACATAACCGATAGTTTGTCTGTTGATGGGGGACCTAACTCATGATTTGATTGGTTAAGGGGAACCTAGCATACCATTGTGTGGACATTCCAAGGGAAACAACTCAATATATAGTTGACGTCACAAGGGAAACAACTCAATATATAGTTGACGTCACAAGGGAAACAACTCAATATATAGTTGACGTCACAAGGGAAACAACTGTTTGCTAGGAAAGGGGACAGATGGTCGAGTGGATTGTTTGATATGTGATTGGGGAAAAACTCTTCTCTTGTTTTTTCAACAGATGTATTCTGTGGTACTTGATATAACACATATATTATGTGGTACTTGGTATAACAGATATAGTATGTGGTACTTGATATAACACATATAGTATGTGGTACTTGATATAACACATATAGTATGTGGTACTTGATATAACACATATAGTATGTGGTACTTGATATAACACATATAGTATGTGGTACTTGATATAACACATATAGTATGTGGTACTTGATATAACACATATAGTATGTGGTACTTGATATAACACATATAGTATGTGGTACTTGATATAACACATATAGTATGTGGTACTTGATATAACACATATAGTATGTGGTACTTGATATAACACATATAGTATGTGGTACTTGTAAAAAAAAAATTATGTGGTACTTGTACTGACCCCTGCACTATGTAGTACCTGAAATGACCCCTGTATTATGTGGAACTCAAGATGACCCCTATTCCCACAATTTTTATCCAGATGGCCCGCATATGACCCACCAGTACGTAATGTGAACTTTTTTACATTCCAATTTGTTTTTAAATCTCCTACTTTGTAGTCTAAGGGAATTTTTTGTTTTATTATTTTCATTTAATTTATTTTTAGGTCTAATTAGTCTTCATCTAATTACTTTTCCTTCAATTAGTTTCTATTTAACTCGTTTTTGTTTATTAGTTTTTATGTGATTAGTGTTTATTTGATTAGTTTAATTTTAATAAAATTTATTTTATTAGTTTTTAATTAAGTACTTTTAATTTAATTTGTTTTTATTTAGGCCTAGTTAGTTTTTATTTAATTACTTTTAATTTGATTACTTTTAACTATATTTCATTTAATTAGTGCTAAACTAGCTTTTATTTCCCCCTAACAACCGAACGTCTGATATTGAAACTTGTCTGGATTTAGACATTTTAAAATTATTTTTAAATTTAATTTTAATTTAATTTTCTTTTTTTCCTTTTTTCTTTTTTATTCTTTATTTTTATTCATCATACGTAGATCTTAAAGTCAGCCCAGAAATAGTTATTTTATAAGGAAATCATTCAAAATCATTCAAAATAAGTCAAGATCATTCAAAATAGTTCAAGATCATTCAAAATAGTTCAAGATAATTCAAAATAGTTCAAGATAATTCAAAATCGTTTGATATCATTCAAAATAATCTAAAAAATATTTAATTATTTTCCGCTTACATTTTAAACTTGGCATAAGAAACAAAGTTTCAGGAATATTTTGTCGTGAGCTTAATTCTTGTTCCACCAAATTGTGAGCTTAATTCCTGTGCCCACCAAGTTGTGAGCTTAATTAATGTATAACCGGTGATTGATTTAAATTATGAAGTTCGAAGTTTTGTAAATATTTAATCTGGTTGATTTCCTCCAGTTTTTATAGAACGCAAAGTTCCGAATCCGACGACTCGCGTGCAGACGACCACACAATCAGGGCAGATGACGACTGACGCGGTGGTGACGTCAGCTGCTGCGTCACTTGATGTGATGACGTAGCGAGTCCGAGAAAGCAGTCAAGCAACCAGCAACCATCACCAGACAAGCAACCAGTCAAGCAACCAGCAACCATCACCAGTCAAGCAACCAGTCAAGCAACCAGCAACCATCACCAGTCAAGCAACCAGCAACCATCACCAGTCAAGCAACCAGCAACCATCACCAGTCAAGCAACCAGCAACCATCACCAGTCAAGCAACCAGTCAAGCAACCAGCAACCATCACCAGTCAAGCAACCAGCAACCATCACCAGTCAAGCAACCAGTCAAGCAACCAGTCAAGCAACCAGCAACCATCACCAGTCAAGCAACCAGTCAAGCAACCAGCAACCATCACCAGTCAAGCAACCAGTCAAGCAACCACTCAAGCAACCAGACAAGCAACCAGCAACCATCACCAGTCAAGCAACCAGCAACCATCCGAGGAATTTCCAAACCATCAGGATATTCAAATGACATGTCCGTGTTGTCATATAAATGACACCGTCTAAAGCATGTTGAAAAACCAAGTGAAACGATGTCATCTCTATAGTGACATTTACCTGACATCAGCCACTCTACACATGACATTGTAAAGTTGATGTAAAGTACGCCACTGTTGGGTGGATACAGACAGTCCACTACTCTACTGCTCCTGCACTCGCTTGCTGTCCGGACTGTCCAGGCCACTTGTTACGTAATGCTCAATTTAAAACAATGATCTGTGACCTTACGTTGTTGATATATAGTGAATCACCTCATTAGATGTCACATGACATCTGTATTATGTAACATGTCATCCGTGCTTGTCACATGTCAATACTGTATTTTTCCCACAAAACCACATCACAAAATCACATCACATGTATTACATATGTATTTTTATATCATTGGTACTGTCGAATTCACAAATTATAAATGACTGAAAAGTAGAAAAAAAAAACCAACTAAATAGCGGCGTATGATACGCAGCGGGTCGGCTCGTATATATATAATTCTCTTCTGGGAGACATTAGAAAACAATCTGCAAGCGCGCCTTACAGTCCCCCTCTCTTCCTCTCTATCGCTACCACCCCCCACCCCCCTCACATGATCTGGTGAGTTGTGTTCACGCTAAATTTTTACATTTTACAATCGTAGAGCTGGGTTTGGTGACGGCTATTAGGGGCAGATAATTTAGTTTGAAACGATTTTAAACTTAGAGGAGGTAACTAAGAGGAGGCTGCTTTCACGGGGGGGGGGGGGGGGGGGTTAGTGTTTTAAAGCAAATATTTTCAGTGGCAGCATTAGTACTGTCGAATTCACAAATTATGAATTACTGAAAAGTAGAAAAAACAAAAACTAAATAGCGGCGTATGATACACCGCGGGTCGGCTCGTATACATATAAAATATCAGATGACACAAATAATATCAGCCTGTTCAATTATTATATTAATATACTAACGTAGATTTCAGGACCACATATCACAAACTATACCACCTTAAAGTATACCACAAACTATGTCTATGTCACAAACTATATCAAACTATATCACAAACTATACAAGAAAGTTTACCACAAACTATAGCACCAAATACACCTTAAAGTGTACACAAAATAAAGTTTGACACAATATCACAAACTATACCACAAAGTATACAATCATCCCATATTATATTTAACAAACTATGTACAATAAAAAAATACCAAACGAATGTTAAAATCAATTTGATCTCTCCTTACAGTGTTATTTTTAAAAGCAATTAAGCTAAATGTTAATTAAATGTCAATTAAACTAAATGTTAATTAAATGTCAGTTAAACTAAACGCGTTTACTTTTAACACGTGTTTACTTGTAGTGTACTTATGTAGCGTGGTGTGGTTGTGTGGTGTGGTTGTGTGGTGTGGTTGTGTGGTGTGGTGTGGTGTGTTTGTGGTTGTGTAGTGTGGTATGGTTGTGTGGTGTGGTTGTGTGGTGTGATGTGGTTTTGTGGTGTGGTTGTGTAGTGTGGTGTAGTGTGGTTGTGTAGTGTTGTGTTGTGTTGTGTGTTGTGGATGTGTAGTGTGGAGTGGTTGCGTGGTGTGGTTGTGTGGTGTGGTTGTGTGGTGTGTTTGTGTGGTGTGGTTGTGTGGTGTGGTGTGGTTGTGTGGTGTGGTGTGGTGGGGTTTTTGTGTGGTGTGGTGTGGTTGTGTGTTGTGTGTTGTGGTTGTGTGGTGTGGTGTGGTTGTGTGGTGCGGTTGTGCGGTGTGGTGTGGTTGTGTAGTGTGGTGTAGTGTGGTGTAGTGTGGTTGTGTAGTGTTGTGTTGTGTGGTGTGGACAACTAAGAGCTGTGAAACGTTTGTTTACCTGCCAAGTCCAGCATGGACTAAATTTCAAACTATTTTTAGACTGACTAAAACATTGGACTAGACTAGAGCCACTGACATTGGGCTAGACTAGAGCCACTGACATTGGGCTAGAGCCACTGACATTGTGCTAGACTAGAGCCACTGACATTGGGCTAGAGCCACTGACATTGGGCTAGAGCCACTGACATTGGGCTAGACTAGAGCCACTGACATTGGGCTAGACTAGAGCCACTGACTAAAACATTGGGCTAGACTAGAGCCACTGACATTGGGCTAGACTAGAGCCACTGACATTGGGCTAGAGCCACTGACTAAAACATTGGGCTAGACTAGAGCCACTGACTGTAAAATTGGGCTAGACTAGAGCCACTGACTGTAACATGGGGCTAGAGCCACTGACATTGGGCTAGAGCCACTGACATTGGGCTAGAGCCACTAACATGGGGCTAGAGCCACTAACATTGGGCTAGAGCCACTAACATTGGGCTAGACTAGAGCCACTGACATTGGGCTAGAGCGACTGACTAAAACATTGGGCTAGACTAGAGCCACTGACCGTAAAATTGGGCTAGACTAGAGCCACTGACTGTAACATGGGGCTAGAGCCACTGACATTGGGCTAGAGCCATTAACATTGGGCTAGAGCCACTAACATGGGGCTAGAGCCACTAACATTGGGCTAGAGCCATTAACATTGGGCTAGAGCCACTAACATTGGGCTAGAGCCACTAACATTAGGCTAGAGCCATTAACATTGGGCTAGAGCCACTAACATTGGGCTAGAGCCACTGACATTGGGCTAGAGCCATTAACATTGGGCTAGAGCCACTGACATTGGGCTAGAGCCACTGACATTGGGCTAGAGCCATTAACATTGGGCTAGAGCCACTGACATTGGGCTAGAGGCACTGACTAAAACATTGGGCTAGAGCCACTTACTAAAACATTGGGCTAGACTAGAGCCACTGACTAAAACATTGGGCTAGAGGCACTGACTAAAACATTGGGCTAGAGCCACTGACTAAAACATTGGGCTAGACTAGAGCCACTGACTAAAACATTGGGCTAGAGCCACTGACTAAAACATTGGGCTAGACTAGAGCCACTGACTAAAACATTGGGCTAGACTAGAGCCACTGACTAAAACATTGGGCTAGAGCCACTGACTAAAACATTGGGCTAGACTAGAGCCACTGACTGTAAAATTGGGCTAGACTAGAGCCACTGACTGTAACATGGGGCTAGAGCCACTGACATTGGGCTAGAGCCATTAACATTGGGCTAGAGCCACTAACATGGGGCTAGAGCCACTAACATTGGGCTAGAGCCATTAACATTGGGCTAGAGCCACTAACATTGGGCTAGAGCCACTGACATTGGGCTAGAGCCACTAACATTGGGCTAGAGCCATTAACATTGGGCTAGAGCCACTAACATTGGGCTAGAGCCACTGACATTGGGCTAGAGCCATTAACATTTGGGCTAGAGCCACTGACATTGGGCTAGAGCCACTGACATTGGGCTAGAGCCATTAACATTGGGCTAGAGCCACTGACATTGGGCTAGAGGCACTGACTAAAACATTGGGCTAGAGCCACTTACTAAAACATTGGGCTAGACTAGAGCCACTGACTAAAACATTGGGCTAGAGCCACTGACTAAAACATTGGGCTAGAGCCACTGACTAAAACATTGGGCTAGACTAGAGCCACTGACTAAAACATTGGGCTAGAGCCACTGACTAAAACATTGGGCTAGACTAGAGCCACTGACTAAAACATTGGGCTAGACTAGAGCCACTGACTAAAACATTGGGTTAGAGCCACTGACATTGGGCTAGACTAGAGCCACTGACATTGGGCTAGAGCCACTGACATTGGGCTAGAGCCACTGACATTGGGCTAGACTAGAGCCACTGACATTGGGCTAGAGCCACTGACATTGGGCTAGACTAGAGCCACTGACATTGGGCTAGAGCCACTGACATTGTGTTAGAGCCACTAACATTGGGCTAGAGGCACTGACATTAGGCTAGAGCCACTGACATTGGGCTAGAGCCACTGACTAAAACATTGGGCTATAGCCACTGACATTGGGCTAGAGCCACTGACTAAAACATTGGGTTAGAGCCACTGACATTGGGCTAGAGCCACTGACATTGGGCTAGAGCCACTGACATTGGGCTAGAGCCACTGACATTGGGCTAGAGCCACTGACATTGGGCTAGAGCCACTGACATTGGGCTGAAATTTAAAGGTCTGGATAAAATGCTGCTGATTGCGCAATTCTTGGAACACACATGACGTCATCACAGTTAGTGGGTCATCTCCAGCACGTGCAGATGTGAGTCCTGCACGTGTCACGTGTCACGTGTCACGCGTGTGTTCAGTGTCTCCACCACCTGCCGTGTCATTACTGTTCACCTGCTGTCGGCTGGATCAGTGGCTCCCATCTGTCTGTTGGTTGTAGATGTTAGACCATAATGCGACCACGTCGAATGTGTAGCAGTACCATCGTTTGTAGAACTCAGACTTTGTTTCGTTTGTCTATGGACTTGGAATCTCATGTATTTTCTATTCCCGACTGGGATTATACCAATAGCAGTTTCTACGGAAGGCAGCGCTTTGAAATTCGTCATTAACTCAAAGGTTTGATTAATGGCAAAGTTCAAAGTTCAAGGTTGACTAAAAACTTCTGTTTCACAAGGTGAGGGCCATTACAGTGTCTAGGTTTATTTTTATATCTGTGGCTAGCTGTGGCTATCTGTGGCTAGCTGTGGCTATCTGTAGCTATCTGTGGCTATCTGTGGCTATCTGTAGCTATCTGTGGCTATCTGTGGCTATCTGTGTCTAATTAACGTACGTGTCGTTAATTGACTATAACAAATGACGTCACAGATGAGATAAAGTATCCGCCATGTTGGAAACTTGACCCGGATCACCAGATGGCTAAACCCTGCCGACAGATGTCACCAGGTGTCACCAGGTGTCACCAGGTGTCACCCCATCAACCCACCGTGCTAGTGACAGATAGTAGCAACACATCACCAACACATCACCTACACATCACCTACACATCACCTACACATCACCTACACATCACCTACACATCACCTACACATCACCTACAGATCACGTACACATCACCTACACATCACCTACACATCACCTACACATCACCTACACACCACCTACACATCACCTACACATCACCTACACATTACCTACACATCACATCACCTACACATCACATCACCTACACATCAGCAACACATCACCTACACATCACCTACACATCACCTACACATCACCTACACATCACCTACACATCACCTACACATCACAGACACAAGCGTCGAGTTGTTTTTGCTCTCCCCGCACGCAAGTCCGGGTGAGATTGGAACCTGTGCCATCAAGTAACCAAAACATTCCTGAGGTCAACACTAAACGCGCTGATCAACCAATTAGAGAGGACAAGGGGCGTAGTCGCTAATTCGTCAGGTATTGATATATTACTTCATTAATTAGGTCAGTTTTGTTTACTTTATTTTACTTATTTTATCATGTATTGATAAATTACTTCATTAATTAGGTCAGTTTTGTTTACTTTATTTTACTTATTTTATCATGTATTGATAAATTACTTCATTAATTAGGTCAGTTTTGTTTACTTTATTTTACTTATTTTATCATGTATTGATAAATTACTCATTAATTAGGTCAGTTTTGTTTACTTTATTTTACTTGTTAAGTAACTGGTTGTCAACTAGTTTAACTTTAAAAGAAAGTGGGAATCGTTCTATTTTTTTAAATATAGGATTTCAATACAGGGGTGGGGTCCTGGGGACGATGTGGATACAGTTATGGGGGCAATATGATATGGGGGTCCTGGGTTTGGGGGTGGGGAAGGTGTGATGAAAGGGGGCGTGTCGATTAGGATTGGGCCAGGTGGCCAATGCAGTGTCACGTGTTCTTTACGTTGTGGTGTTACTAATTATGGTTGCTAATTATGGTTGCTAATTATGGTTGCTAATTATGGTATATGTGTTTGAATGCTGTTGTTGTCGAGTCGTCTACTATAAATCAAGTCTAGTACGTGTCCCGTGAACTGTACCTTGTCGTCTTTTACTTTTATTCTACCTTTCCAAATAGTCTGTCTATATATAGCTACCGTCCTTGCTTTTTGCTCTAGGTCCGTCCTGTCTCTTTGTTAAGGGATTTTGTTTACAGTTATAACTATGTCGATGTTGAAGGTCTCGTTTCTTGTTATTTTGGTTTCTAGCGTCTTTTTCATGTTTTGTATGGTGGGGCATTCTACATAGATGTGCGTTTCGGTTTCGGATGTGTTTTGTCTGCATAGTGGGCAAAAGGGTTTCTGTTGTTTTGCTAGGGGTGTTGAATTGTAGATGAGTCTGTATGTTATTTCCCTGGCTTTGGGTGTGATGGTTTTAAGGTGAAGGTTCTGAAAGGTGTCAGTTGTGTCTGTTAAAGTTGAAATAACTAATACTTCCGGTTACCGGAAATCCCTCAACGATTGATAGAAAACTACTAATCTGATAAATGTTTATTATGAAATTTCGTCAAATGAACTGAAAGGGTACTATTTATAATGTTCAGACACACAGACACATTCACAGACATACAGACACACAGACAAACAGACAAAATTGGATAAAAGTTTTCGGACTCAAGGAGGTGCAAAAGGTGGAGATTTATGAAAATCTATTTTTAGTTCCTCTACATTTCGTACACGTGATATTTTCAAAATAATTTCAGGTGTGGCTCCAGTTATTTCTCGCACTCACTGTACGCTTGACAACACTCACAGTTTCATCAGAGAAAACTGGAATCGAATAAACATCAGTGCGCATGTTTGGTGAATCATTCAAACACGCGTCGGTGACATGCGTCAGGACACGCGTCAGCGAAATGCGTCAGTGACACACGTCAGTGACACACGTCGGTGATGTCAGCCTACGGCGCTGTAGACAACAGAAACGGCGGTGACACCGTCAAACTGTCTAGAAATTTCTTTAAGACAACTAATGTAACCAGCTTGCCGTGTGACGTTAGCCGGCAGCCGGTCTCCGTCAACACGTTCGGCTCCATCTTGCCGGATGTCAACAGCGAGGTTGACCTGAACACAACGTCCGAGGCTGAGGACCGGCAGCCTTACGAGCCGAACCTTCTAGAACGGGCCCTGGAGAGAAGCATCTGCTACAACCCCCGCCGCCGGGTCAAGGCCACGCCCCTGACGGTGGTGTTGCTGTGCCTGATGACGGTGACGTCACACGCCGCCGTTCTCATCATCTGCCCCATCTACACCTCGTCCATGTGCAGGGCGGGCGGGGACGCGATGGTGGTGCTCCTGTCCCTGGCCAGCGTGCTGCCCCTCCCCCTGATATTGCTAACCTTGACCCTCAAGCACGTGTACGACTCGACAATCACGCTCAGGCCCGTGGTGCCCCTGCCCATCTACGCAGCACTGGGCATATGCCTGGCATTGCGTCTTAATCTTGGGATTTATTCTAGGTAAGCTTCAAGTGAGTCACTGACTCACAGATTTATACAGGTGAGTCACTGACTCACAGATTTATACAGGTGAGTTACTGACTCACAGATTTATACAGGTGAGTCACTGACTCACAGATTTATACAGGTGAGTCACTGACTCACAGATTTATACAGGTGAGTCAGTAACTCACAGATTTATACAGGTGAGTCACTGACTCACAGATTTATACAGGTGAGTCACTGACTCACAGATTTATACAGGTGAGTCAGTAACTCACAGATTTATACTAGTGAGTCAGTGACTCACAGATTTTTACAGGTGAGTCACTGACTCACAGATTTATACAGGTGAGTCAGTGACTCACAGATTTATACAGGTGAGTCACTGACTCACAGATTTATACAGGTGAGTTTAACGATGAATTGAACATGACTACTTTTATGAACGCCATCATTCACGTTCTTTTGTGTGACGGCTAACGGACATGTGCTTATATGTTAACCTGCTTTTCATCCCCATGGAGACAGCCACCCCCACCACGCCCCCGCAGCTCTACAGCCGGGGCTCTCAGGGGCGAGCATCCCGTTCTCGTTCATCACGACACTCGTCATCACGAGAAAAGGTAGGTCACTCTCTCGTGTTGTTTGTCCATCAGCTAGTTCCGACTCTCATTGTATACATCGACCTGTGTTTAATATACACCTGATCCCTGTTTGGTACACCTGATCCCTGTTTGGTCCTTCTGACCCCTGTTTGGTACACCCGACCCCTGTATGGTACATCTGACCCCTATTGGTACACCCGACTCCTGTTTGGTACATCTGACCCCTGTTTGGTACACCCGACCCCTGTATGGTACATCTGACCCCTGTTTGGTATCCCCGACCCCTGTTTGGTACACCTGACCCCTGTTTGGTACACCCGACCCCTGTTTGGTACCCCCGACCCCTGTTTGGTACACCTGACCCCTGTTTGGTACACCTGACCCCTGTTTGGTACACCTGACCCCTGTTTATGAACTAAGATTCTTGCCAATTATGTGATCTACAGACACGTGACCCATCTCGTCCAATCAGGTTTGAGCCGGCGCCGCGGGGCCTGCTGTCTGGTGGCCCTGGTGGCCCTGTTCATCGGCCTGGAGCCACGGATCTGGTCCCTGGAGGGTAGCGGTCACGGTGACCTCTTCTACTCCCAGCACCTGGAGGATCGGATTCTCTGGCCCGTGCTCTTCTCACTCAGCTTTCTCTTCCTCTCTCTCTACCACACGCTGGGGGAGGGGCAGATCAGGGGGCGCAAGGTACGTGTCACGTTATGGTAGATGTCACGTTATGGTAGGTGTCACGCTATGGTAGGTGTCACGTTATGGTAGATGTCACGTTATGGTAGGTGTCACGTGGTAGGTGTCACGTTATGGTAGGTGTCACGTTATGGTAGGTGTCACGTTATGGTAGGTGCCACGTTATGGTAAGTGTCAGGTGGTGGTAAGCGTCCAGAAAGTATGAAAATATTTTTTTCTTAATGACACATATTTAAAGCTGTTTGTCTTTAAAATGTCATTGCTAATTCATTTTAGTACTTTTTACGCTGTTTTAAAATTATTTATTTTATTCTTAAACCTTGAAAAGTAAGAAAGGTAACCGTGTTAAATAAACAGACAATCAGGAGTAGCCGAGTTACTTCCCATAAACAAAACTTTGAGTCGTCAGATTTTTCTGCAGATCCACGTTGTGTCGCTGTCTACTTCCGGTCTCTTGTCTGCCTGTGTGTTTACCGTCCTAGCTTTTGGCGCCAATTTCCTGCCGTGGTATGGAGATGTAAGTATAGATTAAAACGTTAAGGGAGGAGGGGGGGGGGGCGTTTCTAGAGAGGTGTGGAGGGGAAGGTTATGGCGTATTTAGGCCAGGAGGGTGGTAGTGCTGTATTTAGGGAGGGAGGGGGTAGTGGTGTATTTAGGGAGGGAGGGGGGTAGTGGTGTATTTAGGGAGGGAGGGGGTAGTTGTGTATTTAGGGAGGGATGGGGGTAGTGGTGTATTTAGGGAGGGGGGTAGTTGTGTATTTAGGGAGGGAGGGGGTAGTGGTGTGTTTAGGGAGGGAGGGGGGGAGTGGTGTATTAATGGAGGGGGGGGTAGTGGTGTATTTAGGGAGGAGGGAGGGGGGTAGTGGTGTATTTAGGGAGGGAGGGGGGTAGTGGTGTATTTAGGGAGGGGGGTAGTAGTGTATTTAGGGAGGGATGGGGATAGTGGTGTATTTAGGAAGGGAGGGGGGTTGTGGTGTATTTAGGGAGGGGGGTAGTGGTGTATTTAGGGAGGGAGGGGGTAGTGGTGTATTTAGGGAGGGAGGGGTAGTGGTGTATTTAGGGAGGGTCACAACTCTTATGTTGAACATTGGGCAGCCGATTAACTTAAGACAACTCAAAAGAAATGCACTTACCGTTTTTGCCCCCCCCCCCCCCCCCAACCTCTTTACCCATGAACAGGTTAGCGATTGGTCAGAATTCTGGAAGCGGATAAAGAACGGATACACGTGTAACTTCAGGTGAGTGTAACTTCAGGTGAGTGTAACTTCAGGTGAGTGTAACTTCAGGTGAGTGTAACTTCAGGTGAGTGTAACTTCAGGTGAGTGTAACTTCAGGTGAGTGTAACTTCAGGTGAGTGTAACTTCAGGTGAGTGTAACTTCAGGTGAGTGTAACTTCAGGTGAGTGTAACTTCAGGTGAGTGTAACTTCAGGTGAGTGTAACTTCAGGTGAGTGTAACTTCAGGTGAGTGTAACTTCAGGTGAGTGTAACTTCAGGTGAGTGAGTGTAACTTCAGGTGAGTGAGTGTAACTTCAGGTGAGTGTAACTTCAGGTGAGTGTAACTTCAGGTGAGTGTAACTTCAGGTGAGTGTAACTTCAGGTGTAACTTCAGGTGAGTGTAACTTCAGGTGAATGTAACTTCAGGTGAGTGTAACTTCAGGTGAGTGTAACTTTAGGTGAGTGTAACTTCAGGTGAGTGTAACTTCAGGTGAGTGTAACTTCAGGTGAGTGTAACTTCAGGTGAGTGTAACTTCAGGTGAGTGTAACTTCAGGTGAGTGAGTGTAACTTCAGGTGAGTGAGTGTAACTTCAGGTGAGTGTAACTTCAGGTGAGTGTAACTTCAGGTGTAACTTTAGGTGAGTGTAACTTTAGGTGAGTGTAACTTCAGGTGAGTGTAACTTCAGGTGAGTGTAACTTCAGGTGAGTGTAACTTCAGGTGAGTGTAACTTCAGGTGAGTGTAACTTCAGGTGAGTGAGTGTAACTTCAGGTGAGTGTAACTTCAGGTGAGTGAGTGTAACTTCAGGTGAGTGTAACTTCAGGTGAGTGTAACTTCAGGTGAGTGAGTGTAACTTCAGGTGAGTGTAACTTCAGGTGAATGTAACTTCAGGTGAGTGTAACTTCAGGTGAGTGTAACTTCAGGTGAGTGAGTGTAACTTCAGGTGAGTGTAACTTCAGGTGAATGTAACTTCAGGTGAGTGTAACTTCAGGTGAGTGTAACTTCAGGTGAGTGTAACTTCAGGTGAGTGTAACTTCAGGTGAGTGTAACTTCAGGTGAGTGTAACTTGAGGTGACTGTAACTTCAGGTGAGTGTAACTTCAGGTGAGTGTAACTTCAGGTGAGTGAGTGTAACTTCAGGTGAGTGTAACTTCAGGTGAATGTAACTTCAGGTGAGTGTAACTTCAGGTGAGTGTAACTTCAGGTGAGTGTAACTTCAGGTGAGTGTAACTTCAGGTGAGTGTAACTTCAGGTGAGTGTAACTTGAGGTGACTGTAACTTCAGGTGAGTGTAACCTCAGGTGAGTGTAACTTCAGGTGAGTGTAATTTCAGGTGAGTGTAACTTCAGGTGAGTGTAACTTCAGGTGAATGTAACTTCAGGTGAGTGTAACTTCAGGTGAGTGTAACTTCAGGTGAGTGAGTGTAACTTCAGGTGAGTGTAACTTCAGGTGAGTGTAACTTTAGGTGAGTGTAACTTTAGGTGAGTGTAACTTCAGGTGAGTGTAACTTTAGGTGAGTGTAACTTCAGGTGAGATTCTTTTAAAACACTTTAAAATCTATCGATATAAAAGGCAATGTATTAGATTTTGCACGGGCGGCCTCAGGCAGGGTGCTATTTGGCGCCCAGGGCTATCCAGTGAGCGATATGGTGCCTACCTTCGTTTTAAACAGTGCAAAAGACTATGCATCAGATCGGGTTTTAGAGTCGTTCACTCGACATTCCATGGTTAAAAGTAGCCAGGGGCTTACGAGAGAGCCCTTTTACTTCTCGGAAACTAAGTTGTTAAGTGATTAACGGATTAAGGTTGATATTACGGTGAGTAATTAACGTGCACTCAAGGCTTTCATATAGCACGCTCCACGGCGGGCTGGGTAATACCGTGCCCCGATAAATATGATCAAAGTCCAAGCATTGTTTACATTTAAAAAACTCTGTTGTAGAAAACAAGAACATATAATTGGTAAAGCATTGATGAAACCCTTCTAATATATTTCGTCCGATTTTACTTTTAAAGATTACTGCAACTTTTATCCCATCGCCATGAAACTTGGGAAGGAATACACCTTGAGATTTTTCTGAAAAAAAAATATTTCATTTTTGCATGGGCGGCGCCGCAGCAGGGTACTATTTGGCAACCCGGGCTATCCCGTAAGCGCTATGCCGCCTACGTGTGTTTTAAAAGTGCGAAGGACTATGGATACAATGGGGCATTATACCCTTTCACTAAACCGAATTAGGCGCGTTCGCCCAGGCCCCGGTAGGGTGCGATTTGCTCAGGGCTATCCTCGTACTAATCCCACGGCAACGCGCGGGGACGGGCACGCTAGTATATACTAAATGGTAGCACACCCGAAACCTGTCTAAATGTTAACACACGTGAACCCTGTATAAATGTTAACACACGTTAACCCTGTATAAATGTTAACACATGTTAACCCTGCCTAAATGTTAACACACGTGAACCTGTCTAAATGTTAACACACGTGAACCCTGTATAAATGTTAACACACGTTAACCCTGTATAAATGTTAACACACGTTAACCCTGCCTAAATGTTAACACACGTGAACCTGTCTAAATGTTAACACACGTGAACCCTGTCTAAATGTTAACACACGTGAACCCTGTATAAATGTTAACACACGTTAACCCTGCCTAAATGTTAACACACGTGAACCCTGTCTATATGTTAACGCACGTGAACCCTGTCTAAATGTAAACACACGTGAACCCTGTCTAAATATTAATACACGTTAACCCTGTCTAAATGTTAACACACGTGAACCCTGTATAAATGTTAACACACGTTAACCCTGCCTAAATGTTAACACACGTGAACCCTGTCGAAATGTTAACACACGTTAACCCTGTCTAAATGTTAACACACGTTAACCCTGTCTATATGTTAACACACGTGAACCCTGTCTAAATATTAAGAGACGTGAACCTCCCCAGCTACGCCCCTGAGTGTCACCAGGCCCTAGTACAGCTGGTAGTGCTGAGTGTGGCCGTGTTTGGTTACAACCTCTTCTCTCTGCTGCTGGTCGCCGCCACTGAAGGCAGCCTGTTCGTCGCACTGGTCAGCTCACTGGCCGCACCTATGACGTCAGCCTTCTGGTCCCTCTTCTATTTTGATTATTCCAGTGACGTCATCAAATGGTCACCCAAATGGACACACTCGGCCAGTAAGTCAGGTTCAAGGTCAATAGTTCTTGTCGTGTACGTCGCGTCAAGGTCGCAAGTTGATGATTAGGTCAAGACCAGTCATATAGCTTGCACTGGTCTAAAGTGGGTCATTCGGTTTTTTTTAAACCAGCCATACATCATATGGCATTTAATGACATATCATATGGCATTTCATGACATATATCATATGGCATTTAATGACATCTTATGGCATTTCATGACATATCATATGGCATTTAATGACATATATTATATGATATTTCATGACATATATCATATGGCATTTCATGAAATATATCATATGGCATTTCATGACATAAAGAACTCACTAAACATGACGTAGGGGGTTTGATCAAGCAAACATTTATTCTCAACTTCGCCATCTTACCTAACCCTAACCTTCATCTTGACGTCACTAATCTTGACGTAAACAACTAATGTCATTTTTTTAAAGCATAAAAAATGTTTGGTGCGCGCCATTTTTTTCTGAGACACATTCAACGTGGACATTTTACTTTCTCTACTTTCTCTACTTTCTCTACTTTCTCTACTTTCTCTACTTTCTCTACTTACTTTCTCTACTTTCTCTACTTTCTCTACTTTCTCTACTTACTTTCTCTACTTACTTTCTCTACTTTCTGTACTTTCTCTACTTCCAGTCTTCACGATCGTGAGCACTGCTCTCCTGCTGCCGTCTGCCATCGCCTACGTCATCTTCTACCACCGTGACGTGCAGGAGGAGAAAGAGAAGGAGAAATCTGACGTCTCGAGCTCAGAGTACGACTGGGAGTAGACAGGTGACATGAGGCTGTCATCTGACGTGACATGAGGCTGTCATCTGACTTTACATGAGACTGTCATCTCACGTTACATGAGACTGTCATCTCACGTGACACGAGGCTGTCATCTTGCGTGACATGAGACTGTCATCTGACGTTACATGAGACTGTCATCTGAAATCTGACGTGACATGCGGCTGTCATCTGACGTGACATGAGACTGTCATCTCACGTGACATGAGACTGTCATCTGAAATCTGACGTGACATGCGGCTGTCATCTGACGTGACATGAGACTGTCATCTCACGTGACATGAGACTGTCATCTCACGTGACATGAGGCTCTCATCTGTCGTGACACGAGACTGTCATCTGACATGGCATGAGGCTGCCATCTGACGTGACATGAGACTGTCGTCTGACGTGACATGAGGCTGTCATCTGACATGACATGAGACTGTCATCTGACGTGACATGAGGCTGTCATCTGACGTGACATGAGACTGTCATCTCACGTGACATGAGGCTGTCATCTGACAATACATGAGACTGTCATCTCACGTGACATGAGGCTGTCATCTGACGTGACATGAGGCTGTCATCTCACGTGACATGAGGCTGTCATCTGACATGACATGAGACTGTCATCTCACGTGACATGAGGCTGTCATCTGACATGACATGAGACTGTCATCTCACGTGACATGAGACTGTCATCTCACGTGACATGAGGCTGTCATCTGACGTGACATGAGGCTGTCATCTAACGTGACATGAGACTGTCATCAGACGTGACACGAGACTGTCATCTCACGTGACATGAGACTGTCATCTCACGTGACACGAGACTGTCATCTGACAAGACATGAGGCTGTCATCTGACGTGACACGAGACTGTCATGTGACGTGACATGAGGCTGTCATGTGACGTGACATGAGACTGTCATCTGACGTGACATGAGACTGTCATCTCACGTGACATGAGGCTGTCATCTCACGTGACATGAGACTGTCATCTGACGTGACATGAGGCTGTCATCTCACGTGACATGAGACTGTCATCTCACGTGACACGAGACTGTCATCTCACGTGAGATGACAGCCTCATGTCACGTGACATGAGGCTGTCATCTGACGTGACATGAGGCTGTCATCTGACGTGACATGAGGCTGTCATCTGTCGTGACACGAGACTGTCATCTGACGTGACATGATTAACATAGGAGTCAGCGTCCTAACTACATGATTAACATAGGTGTCAGCGTCCTAACTACATGATTAACATAGGTGTCAGCGTCCTAACTACATGATTAACATAGGAGTCAGCGTCCTAACTACATGATTAACATGGGAGCCAGCGTCCTAACTACATGATTAACATAGGTGTCAGCGTCCTAACTACATGATTAACATAGGAGTCAGCGTCCTAACTACATGATTAACATGGGAGTCAGCGTCCTAACTATATGATTAGCATATGAGTCAGCGTCCTAACTACATGATTAACATGGGAGTCAGCGTCCTAACTACATGATTAACAATGTGAACTTGAGCAATTCTAATCTAGCACAGGCAAGACTAAGCGAGCACTTCCAAAATGAGTTGGAAAATACCAGAAAACTAACAACTGGAATGCAACAGCACAAATAATTATTACACATGTGCAGACAATATTTTTTGAAGGTTTTGTTCTCTCAACACAGTGATGTTGGTGTTCGATTTGCTCACCTCTGAAATAAATGCGTATGTTTTGAATCTGAATTCTTTTCCCTCTCGTTAAGGATGTATTTGGGACTACCACATGAATCCGGCAGGGGGGGGGGGAGTTTGGTATCTCCCAAAAGGTTAAGAACCGCCGCTAAATTTCGGCTATGTGGCTGCCCTCTTTTGATAATTTAGCCTTATTTAAATGGGTTAAATTATTGTTGACACTGGCGCCACTGAGTACAGCAGCGTTTTTCTGTGTCCTAAAAGCTAATGGTCTAGAGCAGGGGTTCCCAACCTTTTTTTACTCTAGAGCACATTCTAAAATATCGTTAGGGTGGCGGGCACCACCTATTTTAAATCGACAAACTCCTTCCATAACTTGTCATTTTCCCATAATTTATTGTCTTATTTTCTTTTAGTCATAATGTATTAATAAATAATAAACAAAAATGTTTCAAAATAATAAAACTATTTGGCATTTTTTTCAAATTGCATACACACAGAGAAATGTATTAACAAAACGTAAAAAAGTAAACAAAATACATAAATACAAAGAAAACATTTAATTAAAAAATATAATAAAGTCAATGTGATCTTTGGCATTGCATTTCATTGGCCAGAGCTTCATAATTAGGAGCGTATGATGATAATCCTGTTAGCAGACAATCATAAAGATGCTTATCGGTGAGTCGAGATCTATATCTTGATTTTTTAAGTTCATGTTTGAAAACAATGATTCGCATAAATATGTCGAACCGAAAAATGATTCAATTTTATATGCCGCTTTTTTCAACAATGGGAACTTTTCTCTATCCACTGTATTCCAAAAGTCCTCTGACATTAAGGATTTGAGCAAAATATCATTCTTAAGGTCCAAAATTTATAACTCTAGTTCTTCTGTTTTACCTTGAACAAAATCTGCAATACATGCGGCTATTTCCATAACATTTATTTGGCAAGTAAAAGGATTGATACAGAAGGAAACTATTGGCTCAATATGTTTAAACTGCAAACATCTCTCTTCAAACTGTTTTTTTTAACTCTTGAAGATGCTTAATAAATAATGTCCCATTTAATTCATTGTCGCCTAGCATTTTCTTCATATGTGCGAAATGCACGAGAGAATTGATCTGCAGATGTGATATCAACAAATTCAATTTAGCTTTGAATGACTTTACAGAGCTTAGACTTTACAGAGCTTAGACTTTACAGAGCTTATCATTTCAGCTAAGCTTTTGTCTTTACCCTGCAACTCAAAATTTAAAGAATTCAATTTTGTGCAAATGGCACTATCCATTCCAGGCTAGCGTAAATATTGCAGTCTGGCTCGCCGCTAGACAAGTTGGGACAAGTATCGAACATATTTAATAAACCTAGGCAGTCAACAAAAAATTTAAATTGTAACAAATGAATAAACATAAATCATATTTTAAAACACTGTTTATGAAAAAAATTCTGTCTCTGTCGAATAGTGAGAGGCGGGCACATACGAATCGTTCAGCGGACGCCATGACGCCAGCGGGCACAGGGTTGGGAACCCTTGGTCTAGAGCAAGGGTCGGCAACCTTTGGAGACGGAAGAGCCAAAAGTTACAATTTACCAAATTTCCAAGTTTTAAACAGCCACTAACATTTGTATTTCAATATTATAATTTTTTATACGGAATATATATATATATATATATATATATATATATATATATATATATATATATATATATATATATATATATATGTAACTAGGGGAAGTTACCAGAGACATAAGAACGCAGTACAGCGCTGTCAACTTTGACACGACTGATGCAATAACGCAGGTGTTGGCTGATAACGATCAGAAAGCTAAGGCGTAGTATCTTGGGAAGCGATACGATAAGAACGCAATACGGTCTGTCAACTTTGATGTGACAGGATGCAGATGGCTTATTAAATCGGACTGTACGACAGAAGCGGCGTAATTAACATTCTGATGCAACGATTAGAATCGATTACGATTACGATTATGATAGAACCGAATACGATTACGAATACGAAGGGGATATATAGGAAGGCGACGGCTGAGCTCGCTCTCTCTCTCGATCAGTCAGTCAGTGAGGCAGTATCAAGTTGGTTATTGAACGGGTTAGCCGTATTGTGTTAAGAAGGACGATAGACATGTGCATTCAGTTATGTGAAGACTAGTGAGGACTGTTGGGGTCAGTTGATTCAGACTATTATTGTGAAGCATTCCTTTTGATTCATTATATTATTGTGAAGCATTTCTTTGATTCATGTAATAAAAGGATCAATAGCGAACCTGCATCTTCGAGTATCTATACTGTGGTCGATGTTGTGTAGAATGAGTGGTTAGACTCGGTAACATTTGGCGTTGTCGAGCAGAACTCGTTAACATTTGGCACTACAGGCAAATAGTCTCGTTACATTTGGCGCTGCGGACAGGATGAATTCAACTAGACTTGCCGCTTGAGGCACCCATAGTCAACCTTGTTCATAACTGTGTTTCGTGTGTGTGTGAATTCGGACATTCAGGAACAGGGAAAATTGAGGAACGAGGAAAATTTTTCATACACACACGGTAAGAAAGAACTCTTTTTTTTACTCAAGGAATAAAATGTCTACTCTGGACGAGAAGCAGACCCATATTGTGGTCCTGCCCAGAGAGTCCCACATTAACAAATTTTACGGGGACGGTGATCCAGCTTTAACCAACAGGTTCAGTGAAGAGGTCAAAGCGGCCTGGGCCTCGAGACACATGTCACCAGAGGAAAGATTAAGACTGCTGATGGGCAGTATAGGAGAGACGGTTAGGGCAGAGGTCAAATGCCACGATAAAACCATCCAATCAGATCCAGATAAGGTGCTGGATCTAATTATGGAGACCTTTGGGGAGAGACGGTCGGGATCGCAACTGCTATCGGGGTTCGTAGGCTTAAAGCAGAGAATGGCGGAGAGTGTGATGGAGTATTCACACCGAATGAACAGGGTCTTTGATTCGGTAAAGGGCAAAACACCTGACATTGATGTACGCCTACTGAGGGACCATTTCATCGAGGGGCTAGCAACCCCGATCTTAAGGAGAGAGTTGAAAGAGGAGGTCCACAAAGACCCGCAGTTGACCTTCCTTCAGGTCAGGAACTCAGCGATCCGCAGGTCCGAGGATGAGGACCAATCGAACTGTTCGGTGGACAAAGTCTCTGTGCCGGAACAGAAACAATTCCCACCCACAGGGACCGGCACGGTGGAAACCATGATGGCTCAACTGTTGGCCCACCTGGATAAGGTTGACCAACGATTGGCGAGGTTAGAAAGCAGGTCAACAGCTGAGAATCAGGAAAAGAACGGGACAAAACAGAGACAGGTTGGACGGCCGCAACCCGCCGGTC